CCATGATCTGCAGGAGGAAGCCGCTGGCAGGGGGCAGTGAGAGACTGGGAGACGGGGAGGACAGAGCCTTTTGGAAGCAGTCTCGGGGGTCGGGGAGGGGGTCACAGCCTGGAGGAGAAGCACATTGCCGAGCTGCACGGCGCTGGGCACATTTCTTCCCTGGGGCTCGGTTGTGCTGCCTGTAAAATGGGACGATCCTATTTGGCTATTAGAATCACTTTTCCTGCTGGAAGTGAAAGAATGTGGCATTTATGCTCTCTTTACATCAGCACTCTTCAAACATCGGTGCACCTGACTCAGTGGGGGGGCGGGGCGGGGCCTGGCCAGGAACGAGCAAGTCCCAGGCACCGCCCCCGAGTCAGCAGGTGTCTGTGTTGCGGGGTGCGGGGAGGGGGTTCCCTGCACAGCGCTGGCCCCGGTGAGGATGTGCGCTTGTGCCGCCCCCACCGCCCCCGCTGCAGACTTGGCCGGCACAGGTGTGGTCAGCTCCTTTCCCTCATTCAGCGGAGACCAGGTGGGGATTTTTGAAAGTGAAATTTACCAAGTCTTACAGGGAAAACCAAACCACCCGAAAGTAGCTGAGAGCTGCTCAGGCCTAGGCCGTTCTCTCTGGGCCGTGGGGCCACTAGGGCTGGCCACAGACCTCTGGCTGCACAGCTCAGCACCCCGTGGACACCTTGCTCTGCCTCCAGCAGACAGGGGAACCCCACCCAAAGGCTCCTCCTCCAGCCTCGGGCTTCCCCCTCCCACTCTTCTCCCCCCTCCCTGCGCCTTCCCAGGCAGGGCCCAGAGCGAAGCCCCCAGGCTCCCTCCCTGGTCCCCTGGAGCGGGAATGTCAGGCCCCTGAAATCCCGAGGGGCAGACTTCCGGGCTGCTGCTGCTCCAAGGCAGCTGTCACTTCTTCTCCGCCAGGAGCTGGATGGGAGCGGGGGGCAGCGAGGGGCAGCGAGGGGCAGCGTGGCAGGTGGGGGAGGCAGCAGGGCGTTGTGCTTGGGGCAGGGACTGGGCCAGCTTCGGGGGCCACAGACAGTGCAGCCCGTGGCAAAGCTTTCTCTACTTGACGGGCTGGGGGCCCTACGGAGGGGTCACAGTTCCTGGGGGCAGTTCTGGGTCCCGTTCAGCTGCATGGTGCCCAGGAGGGCTTGGCGCCACTGTGCTGTGGTCGGGATAGCTGACCTGGCCTCAAATACTTTTTTTTTTTTTTTTAAGCTTTATTTATTTGAAAGGCAGAATTACAGAGAGGAAGAGGGAAGGAGAGAGGTCTTCCATTTGCTGGTTCACTCCCCAGATGGCTGTGACGGTTGGGCCAGGTGGAAGCCAGGAGCCGGGAGCTTCATCTGGGTCTCCCATGTGGGTGCAGGGGCTCAAAGACTTGGGCCATCTTCCACTGCTTTCCCAGGTGCATTAGCAGGGAGCTGGATCAGAAGTGGAGCAGCCAGGACTAGAACTGGCACCCATATGGGATGTTGGCACTGCAGGCTGTGGTTTTTAACCCACTGCACCACAGTGCTGGCCCTAGATCCTTTTTTTCTTTTTAAATATTTATTTATTTGAAAGGTGGAGAGAGGAGAGAGGAGAGGATAGGAGAGAGAGAAAGAGAATATCTTCCATCTGTTGGTTCACTCCCCCAATGTCGGCAACAGCTGGGGTGGGACCAGGCGAAGCCAGGAGGCAGGAGCTCCACCCAGGTCTCCCCACGTGGGTAGCAGGAACTCAAGCACTTGGGCCATCACCCGCTGCCTTCGAAGGCACATTAGCCCAGAGCCAGAGGAAGCGGAGCAGCCGGGTCTTAAACCGGCACTCGGGTGTGGAGCGTGGGCATCCCAAGTGGTGGCTTTACCTGCGGCACCACAACACCCCCCCCCCCCGCCTCAAATCTGGACCCCACCTTGGGCTGGGCTCCGCCTTCTGGGAGCCTGGTTTCCATGGTGACAGGGTCTCGGGCTGCCATTCCCATCACTTCTGCAACCACACAGGTCCTTGACTCTACCCCCCTTTCTGGACTCTTGTAAAGTGATGACATCACAGGCCAAAGAAACCCTGCTGTGTCTTCTGGGAAAGGCCAGCCGCAGGGGCTGGGTGCTGGGAGAGGGGGCTGAGCCGGGCCCCCACCCACATGTCTGGGAACAGCTGGCGAGACCTGTGGCCTGACCAGTAAGCGCCACATGGAAGATGGACTCAGCTTTGAGTCTGGCAGTGGGAAGAGCGCCCTCTGGGGGTCAGCCGTGGATGCACACCGACACCCCCTGGCTGTTACAGGTGCGGTTTTGTTCGCTCCTCTCCATGCATACACGCGCTGCTGTATTACTGCTATTTTCTTTTGTGGAACCATTTGCGGGTTAGTTGCAGACATTTGGACCCTTCGCTCCTGAATATTTCAGCCTGCTTGCTTCTGTTATGTAAATAAGTCATCAATGCCACTCACAGAACCCAGCATCAGGGCTCACCGCTTATCCCACCAGGCTCCTTGGTAGCTGCCCCCCACCCCGATTCAGCATCAGCCTTCATGTCTCTCCCCCATTCTGGAACATTCCTCGGCTCTTCCTTGTCTTTCCTGCATTGGTTTGTCTGATGTTTCTCCCTGATTGGATTCAGACCGTGGGCTTTTGTTAGGATGGCCTTAGGGTGATGTGTCCTCGGCACATGGGCTTTTAATTGTTTTAAAGATTTTTTTTTATTTGAAAGGCAGAGTTACAGAGAGAGAAGAGGAGGAGGAGGGGGGAGAGAGAGAGAGAGAGAGAGATCTTCCATCTGCTGGTTCACTCCCCAGATGGCCATAACAGCCAGGACTGGGCTGTGCCAAAGTCAGCAGCAGAGCCCAGAGCTCCATCCGGGTCTCCCACATGGGTGCAGGGACCCAAAGATTTGGGCCATCTTCTGCTGCTTTCCCAGGCAGATTAGCAGGGAGCTGGATCAGAAGTGGAGCAGGCTGGCGCCAGGGCCATTAGGCTAATCCTCCACCTAGTGGCGCCGGCACACTGGGTTCTAGTCCCGGTTGGGGCACCGGATTCTGTCCCAGTTGCCCCTTTTCCAGGCCAGCCCTCTGCTGTGGCCAGGGAGTGCAGTGGAGGATGGCCCAAGTGCTTGGGCCCTGCACCCCATGGGAGACCAGGAGAAGCACCTGGCTCCTGGCTTTGGATCAGCGCAGTGCGCCGGCCGCAGCGCACTGGCCACGGCGGCCATTGGAGGGTGAACCAACGGCAAAGGAGGACCTTTCTCTCTGTCTCTCTCTCTCTCACTGTCCACTCTGCCTGTCAAAAAATTAAAAAAAAAAAAAAAAAGAAGTGGAGCAGCTGGGTCTCGGACCAGCACCCATATGGGATGCCGGCATCATAGGTGGAGGCTTAACCAGCTACACCACAGCACCAGCCCTAGCACCTGGGCTTTTGTATGCTAAGCATGATCCTGTGGCCCAGAGATGGGGACAGAATTGGGGACACAGTGAGTTCAACTCTCCTCTCTGCACCTGGCTGCTGTGTGACCTCAGGCAGGTGGCTGCACCTCTCTGGGCTGCATTCCTCCTCTGTAACATGAGATTTCCTCTCTTAACCTCTTCCTAACCGTGGGGCTTGACTTCCAAAGAGCCCCAGGGATACAGCAGGGAGTTTGTTCCAAGTGCACATTCCTGAAAAAACCAGTCCTGGACCTGTGCTTCACCCCAAACACAAGGAGGGGACTTGGCAGCAAAGGTCAGACCACAGCCCCCGGCAGGTCACGTGGGGGAACTCCCGGACACGCTGGGTGGACAGACGTGGCTTAAACAGCACTCAAATATAAAGGGTGCTAACCCCCAAGGGGATGTTGGTGAGCTGTCCGCCAGGGCCAGGGCCAGCCAAGACAGGGAGGAGGGGGCGGCGTGGTGGCGCCCTCCTGCTTGCCCGGCGCCTTCTCCCCGCGCCCACGCTGGGCGCCATCTGTAGGGGTTCGGCCCCAGCAGCCAAGCTCGTCAGGAGGCGACTCCGTGGTGAACCCCGGGGAAGGCGGAGGGGGAAAGCCGGCAGAGGGCCAGGGTTCCAAAGGGGGCCGGGAGCGTTTGCTGCAGGTGTGGGGGAGGAGAGAGGCCGGAACGCCCAGCGTTGGGGTGGGCGTTGGAGTTGCCCTCCGCCTCTTCTCCCTCATGGAGTGTTTTGGGGAGGAAGGAATGGATCCGGAAGTTCTCATCCTGATTTTTAAATATGTTGCTGTGTGTTTATTTTCATTTTATTTGAAAGGCAGAGAAACAGAGACGGGGTGATTAATTCCATCCACTGGTTCACTCCCCAAATGCCCAAAGCAGCCAGGGCTGGGCCAGGCTGAAGCCAGGAACTGGGGGCTCCATCTGGGTCTCCCATGCAGGTGACAGGGACCCAAGCATTTGAGCCATCCCTGCCACCTCCCAGGATGTGCACCAACGGGAAACTGGAGTCAGAAGCAGGGCCGAGGCCAGCGCCGTGGCTCAATAGGCTAATCCTCCACCTAGCGGCGCCAGCACACTGGGTTCTAGTCCCAGTTGGGGTGCCGGATTCTGTCCCGGTTGCTTCTCTTCCAGGCCAGCTCTCTGCTGTGGCCCGGGAAGGCAGTGGAGGATGGCCCAAGTGCTTGGGCCCTGCACCCCATGGGAGACCAGGAGAAGTACCTGGCCCCTGCCATTGGATCAGCGCGGTGTGCCGGCCGCAGCGCGCCGGCCACGGCAGCCATTGGAGGGTGAACCAACGGCAAAGGAAGACCTTTCTCTCTGTCTCTCTCTCTCACTGTCCACTCTGCGTGTCGGAAGAAAAGAAAACCAATAACAATAGAAACAGGGCTGGATTTGAACCCGGGCCTCTGATATGGCCTTGGACAGCCCGTCGGCATCTTAACTGCTGTGCCACGCGCCCACCCCTCATCCCGGTTCTGCATTGTGCGGCTGGGTCTCAGGCCCAGCCTTGGCCGCGAGCAGACCTAGGGCTCCCAGGACTAGAGTGGCTCAAGGGCGACCTCTGTTGGCTCTGCCAGGCCTCACCCTCTTCTCTGACCCCCAGGATCGCGCCCTCAAGGACGCCTGTGCCAGAGACCCCGGACGCTACTACGACAAGGCTGCCGGCCAGTGCTGCTACCGCTGCCCCTCAGGTGAGCTGGGCCTGGGCAGGGGACAGCAGGGCTTTGTCCTGGAGTTCTGAGCCTCTGGGGGCTGGCGAGGAGGAAAGCCGGAGCTGCCAACGCTGCGGCCCTTGGCTGCGGGTCACTGAAGGAAGGCAGAGTGGGGGGACCGGGTTGGCTGCCACGGCCAGAAGAATCCATTCTGCGGGTTTGTGACTCAGAGCTGCCCCTTACTGGGCACTTACTGCATGGCAGCCTGAGACGGTCCTGGCCTGATGCATCTCCACGCGCTCACCTTGCTGCCTCTGCACACGACGCTATCCGGCTCAGCAAGGGTACTGCAGAGCGGCCGGGGCTGGGGTGGACCCCAGCGGCCCCTTGTTTCTGGGGCCTTGAAGCCCTTGGCAGCTCCGGTCCGCTGCAGCCCAGAACACATCTTCACCCTGGGGCGGTGGGCATCTCGAGTGGGGGGCGGGCAGGCCTCTCAGGGGCTGTGGTTGACCATGGAAGCCCCACAGCCCACCCAAAGGCCTCCGCTGGCTGGGGCACGAGACAGAGCCGCTGTGCAGTCTCCGAGCTCCAGACCAGAGGTCATGGCAGGGGGGCACACGTCACTCTGCCAGCAGGGTAGGGGGAGTCACTGCACGTGGGCATCGCTGGATGTGGGCGAGTGTTGTCTGGAGGGCTTCCTGGTGAGGGAGGGCAGGCCTGTGGCCTGGCAGGCAAAGAAACCCAGGGTCATTGCGGGAACCCTCGCCAGGTGTTCCCAGACCTGTGGCCACTGAACACCCTCGTGAGGCTCAGACAGACAGAGGCAGACATTTAGGGAAAGAATTTGCTATTTTTGGTATTTTCTATTTCCAAAAATGATTCAGAGTAGCCACTGAAGGGGGGGAACAGAACTGTATTTTATGCTTTAGTGTGGATCCTGACGGAAGTGTGAGGTGGGTCGCCTTGCTTCCGGGCTGGGGACTTCAGTGCCCCCCACCCCCGGTCTGTGCACCTGCCGTCCGCCCTCTGCTTTCCCTCCCCTCTGGCCCCCAGCCATCCATCCCCTGTGTGTGTCACTCACCTCTGGCTGCCGTGGACTGCACAGACAGCAGGTGTCTGTTTGCTCACAATTCTGGAAGCTACAGGGTCCACAGTCAAGTTCAGCTCTTGGGGAAAGCTGCCCTCCTGGCCGGTAGGCGGCGGCCTTCTCGCGATGGGGACTCTACCCACCCACCCCCCCATGAAGGGAGGCCACTGCTCCTCTCAGGCATCACTGAACGTCAGCTGCCTCGTGAAAGTCCTGTCTCCAAATATCGTCACTCTGGGGTGGGGCATGAGGGTTTCAACACGGGAATCTTGGGATCGCACAGTCCAGCCCATAGCACCGCCCCCTCCCGTCTCCTTCCCACCACCCTGTCGTCCCCATCCCCCTCCTCATCTCCTTCCTCCCACCTCTCGTCCATTTGTCTGCTCGTCTGTCCATCCACCATCTAGCCATTCACTCCTCATCCATCCGTCCATCCATCCCGCCAACAATTAAATCTCATTCTTATAATAACAAGGTCACTTTTTGCCTTTCCAGTCTTTCTCTTCTCTCTCTCTCTCTCTCTCTCTCTCTCTCTCTCTCTCTCTCTTTTTCTTTTTTTGACAGGCAGAGTGGACAGTGAGAGAGACAGAGAGAAAGGTCTTCCTTTTGCCGTTGGTTCACCCTCCAATGGCCGCCGCGGCCAGGAGGCAGGTGCTTCTCCTGGTCTCCCATGGGGTGCAGGGCCCAAGCACTTGGGCCATCCTCCACTGCCTTCCCCGGCCACAGCAGAGAGCTGGCCTGGAAGAGGGGCAACCAGGACAGAATCTGGCGCCCCGACCGGGACTAGAACCCGGTGTGCCAGTGCCACAAGGCGGAGGATTAGCCTAGTGAGCCGCGGCGCCGGCTCTCTTCTCTCTTGATATATTTTTATTTGTTTATTTGAAAGTCAGAGTTACAGAGAGAGGGAGAAACAGAGAGGGGTGGGGCAGGGGGAGACAGGAGCCTGGAGCTTCTTCCAGGTCTCCCACGTGGGTGCAGGGCCAGGGACTTGAGCCATCTTCTGCTGCTTCCCCAGCACATTAGCAGGGGGCTGGATCAGAAGTGGAGCAGCCAGGACTTGAACCGGCACCCGTGTGGGATGCCAGGACTGGATACGGCAGCTGTACGGTGCTGGCCCCCCCTCTTGACCATTCTATGGGAACTTGTGTACGTGGTGTCCTCTGCACCTTCTGTGTGCTTTCAAGTCTCTGGCCCTTTAGACACGCCCCCCGCCTCCGCCCCCCAGGTGCCCTCCCCTGTCACCCCTACCTGCTCCAATCCCAGCACCCCTCCCTCCAGGGAGCCCTCCCTCCCTCCCTGGCTGCTGGGGCTGCTTCCCACAGGGTTCTCCTGGGGGCCTCTTGTTGGGGTTTTCACCCCTCCTCCCCACTCTGTGACTCTCCGTGGGCCCCACAGTCGCAGCTGTGGGGAGCAAGACGGTCCTCCTCTGGCTCCTTTACCCCCAGCTTGGCAGTGCCAGGACAGGGAGTGGGGGAAGGGAGAGGGACGTCCCAGGCCCAGGCTCCCTGCACTTAGAAGGTGTGACTTAGGGGGAGGCCCCCCCACCCCCCCACCCCCACCCCCACCCCCACCCCGCTCCAGGGCCACACCCATGCTGATGTGGTGGGCGGGGCATTTTGCTGGAGATTTAGTCACTGGGGGCTTCTGGGCAAGCCAGAGAGGAGAAATGAAAACCCCTCAAAAACCCCTCCCTCCGTCTTGGGAGGGGAATTTCTGACATTTGCCGGCCGCTGTCTGTGTGCCGTCAGCTCAGCTGTGTGGCAGGGCGCACACGTGGGCGGGCAGTGGAGGAAGGAAGCTGGGGGACCTTTGGGACCCAATGCGGTGATGTCACCCAGCCTGTCCTGCTTCCTCAGCACTCCCGACAGCTACTCCCCTGCCCTCGGCCTCCACCCCTCAGTGACATGGTGCCCCCCCACTCCGGTAAACACAGCCACGACCCACACTGACGCAGCCTGCTGTGTGCCCGCCGCGGTGCCACATTAGCAGGGAGCTGGATGGGCCAGGCTGGGGCTGGCGCTGTGGTGCAGCGAGTCGGGGCTGCAGAGGCCTGAGCTCCTCGGGTTTGGATCTGGCCCCCAGGGCACTGCACTGGGGGGTGGGGAGGAGCCCGGCTAGACCACCTCCCCTTGTGCCAGCGCTCTTGCTCCCCACAGGGAGGGGTCTCCCCTGCAGTGCGGCCAGGTTTGAGGGGTGATGTGCGGCCAGGCTGAGTGTGCAGCAGGGAGCCGGGCTTGCTGGGGCGCCAGGAGGGGTGCATGTCATGTCCCAGGAGCCCGGATTTCTCCAACGGCTGTGAGAGTGGGGGGGGGGAGGGCTCGGTGGGCTCTTCCTGCTCCCACTGGCCTTGGACAAAGCCCAGCCCCTCATGTGGGCCCACTCAGCGTGACAGCTGCCGCCCAGGCTGACCCCTCACCCTCCACCATCCCTCCTGCCTTGGGCAGCCGTCGGGGGTGCCAGTCTCCCCCTTGCCCCCTGAGGCTTCGACCCTGCACAGCCCCTCCCCACTCTGCCCCCTCCCTCCTCTCCCTCCCCCATCCCTGTCCCTGTCTCTCTCTGTAGGATGCATTCCTCTTCATCCCTGGGCTTGAACTGACGGTACCTGAGTCCCTTGACCCCAGCCCAGCTGTAGCGCCTTTGCCGTGGGCCTGCGGTGCCTCCCCAGTCCCACTTGCCTGACCCTTGATCTGCTCGTCCTTACTGTCCGGCGTCTGTCTTCCAGATCCCCGGCCTGAGCACACAGCCGGTTCTTACCCGGGTTTTGGATGATGGACGAATGCCCGAACGTGGCTGTGTTGTCCCACCCCAGCGGCCCAGGTTCCCACGGTTCCCCCAGCAGCTCCCTCCCACCAGCCCCCCACCCAGCTTCACCCCACTCTTGTCTGTGTCTCAGCCTGAAATGTCCAGCAGGGATTTCTGTGTCGTAAGTGTGTGAGTGAGTGTGTGACGGGGAAGGCGTGGAGGGGGAGAGAAGGAATTGGGACCGGCGCAGCAAGCACTTATTGAGCTCCTGTTGTATACACGGGTGAGGAGGACAAGGTCCTGGCTCCCAGGAGCTTACCCAGCAGTAGAGGAGGTGACAAACTTAGGTTTAGGTGACACTGCAGAGAGAGCTCCGCCAAGACAAGGTCACAGGGGAGGGCGTGGGAGCTCGGAATGGGGGGAAGGCCCAAACAGCTGGTGTGCACCCCCCATCCATCCTTCCGTAACTGCGTGACTGCGTGAGTTTTAGAGAAGAGAGGTCTACTTGTCTCGTTGGTTTATTCCGGGTGCTGGGGAGCCCGCGCTGCCGGCACTCGCGCCTGCCCCGTGAGGCTGCCTGCGGCGTCCTGCACGCGCGGCGGAGCAAGCCCCCAGCGCAGGGCGCCGCCCCTTCTTCACCGGTCGCTGGTGTCCCGTGACTCCATCAAGCCCTCGTGACGCCCCGATGGCTCCGACGGCAAATGCCGTCCACACGGCTTGGGGATTATGTTTCCAACACACGAGCTTCTGGGATTCACGCTCGCCCCACAGCGTTCATTTTGGGCCGTGACAGGCACATGGACCCAGGAGGAGGTCAGCGGGAGGGTGACCGAGGCGGAAGTAGGGCGGTGACACACGGGACAGACAGCTGTGGTGGGAGCCGGGGACCGCGGGGGCTGCTAGCAGGGTGCTGGGGACTTCTGGAGGGGTGCTGGGGGCTGCTGGGGACTGCGGGGGCTGCTGGGGGCTGCTGGGCCCCCTGCTGATGTGGGCTGCCCTGTGCTGGCGGAGCCGGCTCGGGGGCCTCTGGGAAGCCGTGCAACACCGAGAGGCTGATGCCCATGTGGGAGCTGGGCGGGAGCTGGCGGCAGCTCCCGCAGGAGGGCGTCAGTCCCAGAGCCCAAGTGGATCTCATGAGGTCCGAACACAGGACCCAGGAAATTGGGCTGAGCCAGGCGGTCTCCCTCCCCCCCCCCCCCCCCCGCCTGTCTGTCTTGTGCTGCCGTCACAGGATGTCCCATTTCTAAAGAAGCGAATGTTGGTTTCTCCTGGTTCTGGGGGCTGGGAACTCCCAGATGGAGGGCGTTTTGGCCTTGTGGCCCTTGGTGGCAGGCGAGAGAGTGAGGTGGTGAGAACTCCGTTTTATTACAAACCCACCCCGTGCGGGGGCAGAGCTCTTACTGAAAAAGCCCCTCCCACGACCCATTACTTTGCTCTGGGGACTCCATCTCAGCACACGAGAGCATCACCCAGTGTCCTCCGCCTATGATGTTCTCTTTCTCCCTGCACGGCGCCCCGCCCTGCCCTCCCTACACTTGACCAAGCTGGGCTGGCCCACGGTACTCCCAGTCTAGTCTGTAGGTCTCTCCTGGGGCACCGGAAGGGATGCTGGGTAAGCATCTGCCAGCCCCCAGCTCCAAACAGGAGAAAGCAAGCATCGGGTGGCTTGAGGAATCCGGGGGTCCCTTCCTCCCTGGACCAGGGCTAGGGCCAAGGGGCGGGCAGGGAGCCATCCTCCAAGGAGACCTCCAAAGTCAGCCGCCTGGCTGTGAGGATCTGGGGCGTCTGGAGCCCTGGGGCGTCTGACCTAGTTGGGGCAACCAGGGGCGCCTTGAGGAGGTGGTGTTACGGGACGATGAGGGCCGTCTCGGTTCTCCTCTCGTGTCAGAGAGCTTCCACGCAGACAGTGAGCAAAGCGAGATTATTCAAAGCAAGAAACCTCCTGCCACAGCCCCTGGGAGTGGGGCTCCGAGGGAGTCGCCCAGGAAGCCTGCGGATACTGGCCTTTTAAAATTTCTTTGTAAGGATTGATTTATGTATTCGAAAGTCAGAGCTACAGGCAGAGAGGGAGACACACACACCACCCACCCTACTGGTTCACTGCTCAGCAATGGCCAGGGCTGAGCCAGGCTGAAGCCAGGACCCGCCTCCGGGTCTCCCACGTGGGTGTAGGGCTCCAAGCACTTGGGCCATCTTCCAGTGCTTTCCCAGGCAATAGCAGGGAGCTGGATCAGAAGTGGAGCAGCTGGGACCTGAACCGCTGCCCAAATGGGACAGCAGCATTTCAGGCAGTTGTTAACGTGCTACACCAAACAACGGTGGCTCTGGATACTGGCTTGTATCCACAGAAGTGGCCACCTAGATTTAACCAGTTGGGGAGGAGCAGAGTCACAGCCACTCAGAGGGCTGGGATAACGACCAATCAATTAGAGGGCTGGGATAACGACCAATCAGAGGGCTTAAATAACAACCAACCAATCAGAGGGCTGGGATAATGACCAATCAGAGGGCTTAAATAACAACCAACCAATCAGAGGGCTGGGATAACGACCAATCAGAGGGCTGGGATAACGACCAATCAGAGGCAGGGCTGAAAAACCCATCCGCGGGCTGGACTTGGTAATCCCACTAGCCGCGCTCACGATAGAACTAAGTACAGCTGAGGGCAGCCTTTGGGAAGAAGCAAGCACTTTGCTGTTAAAGGGGCTCTCCCCGCTTTCTCAGGCTGGCAGGAACCTGACCTAGCTGCCTCGTAGCCGTCTGACTCCTCACGGTGGTGTCCAGAGGAGCCCTGAGGATGAGCAGGAGCTGGCCTGGCCAGGGTGGGGAGAGCAGGTGCTCAGGGTGGGGACAGGGAGTCTGTGAAGCCCAGAGGTGGGCGCAGACGGGCCAATCTGGAAGCAGCCCGGTGGGGCTGCTCAGGGCTGAGGGTGTGACGGAGACGACGGGGGACGGGGAGGGGCTGGTGACCAGGCTCCAGGCGGAGCGGCTGTCTGGGCAGGAGTTCCCGGCCCAGAGCGGCTGGGTTCGGTTGCCGGATACCGAGGCCGAAGCTGCCGGACTCTGGGGCTTGAAGGCAGAAAGGTCTTGGGAACGAGCCCCGAGAAGACCCCCAACAGGTCTCTGGTGGCAGGATGGGTGCTCAGCGGGAAAAGCTACCTGGAGAACGGGAAAGGACCAAGGAAGTGACGGAGCCCCGGCCTTCCTGCCTTTGCTCCCCGACCTTGGTCCTAGCTGTTCCTTCCCCAGCTGGAGTCCCCTGCCTGGTGTGCTCTCCCTCCAGCCCACAGCATGGCTGCCACCTCTGTCCCTTGGGGCAGTGAGGCCACGCCCCCCCACTCTGCTTTCCCACTCATGATCCCTGCTCTGTCGTCCTGAGAGTTCAGATCCACCCTAGAAACCCACTTGCGCATTTCTCTCTTCCCTGGTTGTCGCTTGTCTGCAGGCTACAGCGTCAGGGCCACGGGGACAGGGCCTTCGTCGTCACCTGGGACATCCATGGCGTTCAGTAACTGTCCCGAGTGGAAAACCAGTGCCACCCCATCCCCGCCACTTGGCCTCTAGTGTGTCTCCTGCCGTGGGACAGGTGCTGGTGCCGAGAAGGGACAGGAGAGGGTGGCGTGGGGTCAGGCATCCCGGCACGGGTGCAGGTGGAGGCGGCGAGGCTGCACAGCCTCCGAGGCCGGCAGAGGGCTCAGACCAGCAGTTCTCAAGGTCTCTGAGCTCCTGGTTACTGGTTGTTGTGCAGGCTTCCCGGAGTGACTGGGGGCACAGAAGAGCTGGGGGCTCCGCATCTCGAGTCCTTGCTGTTGTCCTTTCTGGGCCCGCGTAAGACAAAGGAGACTTGGGTGGCTCAGCCACAGATGCGTCCACGGAGCCCTAACTTCAGGGGCTGTTCAGTGGTGCCCTCAGGAACCCGGCCTGGGCTCAGTGTCCACCCCTTCTGGGCAGCTTCGAGCTCAGGCGAGCCTTTCATCCAGGAACCCAGCAATAAAGGCAAGGCCACGCGTGGGGGTGCCCCCCTGGGAGTGCTCGGAGCAGGGGCGCAGTGCAGGCATGCGTGGGTCATGTGCACATGCTGAGCCAATCCGTGATGAAGAAGATGGTGCATCCTGATTGGCCTGTCTGGCTGCTGGGTGCCTTCCACAGCCTCCCTGGACAGAGCCGTGCGGACAGCCAGGGTGCCCAGCGCCCTGTGCCCCCTGCCTCAGTGCCGACTCTTGGTCTCCTCCTGCAGTGAGAGGCGAGGGCTGCTGGGTGCTTTGTGCACCCCGCATGCCGGACTTGGCTCTCAGGGTCCAGACACTCTTGGGCTCCCCAGTGCTGGCAGGGGAACGAGGTTGCTTTCTCAAGCCTGCTGGGTGCCATGGGTGCCGGAGCTGTCCCTTTCACCCTTTCAACAGCACCAGGAGGTAGGTCCTCTTATTAAAACCTAATTTTCTGATAAGGTCATTCTTTGTAGCTTGACCGAAGCCAGGCAGGTGCAGGTAGCAGCCCTGGAATCCCAGACCTGGCGCTTTCTGGTACCTGAGCTGTTTGTCCCACCTGTTGGGTGAACTTGGACAAGGCTTTGGCCGTTGTGGAGTTCCCTTTCCATCTGTTAGGGGACTTTAAAATGTCCATGAGAGTAGAATTGAGTGATTTTTTTCCTGATATAAAGAATGTTGAAATCCATGCGTACCAGGGGGTTTTCAGAAAGTTCCAGGAGAACTTTTATCACTTGTTATGATAAAGTTATGCAAGGATTTCAAAATGCCTCGCACCAAAATAAACTGATCTTTTAATTCTCTTTTTCCATGAACTTTCTGAAGGTCTCTCTTGTAGCTCTAGAGTTGGACTGATATGTTTGGGGGTGGCAGGGATCAGAGGTGGCCTGGATTTTTTTCTGCTGGCTGCTGCTGCTTTTTAAAACAATTTATTTATTTGAAAGGCAGAGTGGCACAGAGAGAGACAGAGATCTTTTGTGCGCTGGTTCACTCCCTATATGGCTGCGACAACTGTGGCTGGGCCAGTCTGAAGCCAGGAGCCAGGAGCCAGGAGCCAGGAGCCAGGCGCTCCATCCAGGTCTCCCACCTGAGTGGCAGGAGCTTGGGCCACCCCCTGCGTTTTCCCAGGCTCATCAGAAGGCAGCTGAATCAGGGACGGAGTCGCTGGGATTGCAACAGGCACTGCAATATGGGACGCAGCGTCCAGGTGGCGACTTCAGCTGCTGCACCACGCCCCTCCCCCTCCCTCTGCTTCTTTTCCCAGGGCTGTCACCCACGCAGCCGTGCCCGCAGGGGTCTGCCGACTGCAGGAAGCAGTGCGAGCCCGATTACTACCTGAACAGGGACGGCCGCTGCACCGCCTGCGTGAGCTGCTCTACAGGTGAGCGTCGTGTTCTCCCTCCGCGGGCTCCTTCCAGGGGCTCAGAGGGGAGGTGGAGGACCTGGAGGGCAGGGTGCATCTGTGGCTGGTGCCTCGGTTTCCCTCTCGGGGTTTTGGGTTAGTCTCAGCCAAACTCTCTTGCATCTGTATGCTACAGAGACTTGGCCTGTGTGCAGATGAAGAGGCCTCCCGTGTGTTGAGTGCAGTCTTTCCCGCAGTCCTGGGCTGAGGGGAGGGGTCGTTGGTCACCCCCGGCTTACAGTGAGGAGTCGGGATTGGTGGGGCTGAGGGACTTTGCAAAGCAACGCAGCGCTGGTGCGTGGCAGAACTGGAGGTTGAGTCGATGGCTTGACGCCATGAATTGTGTGTGTTCTCTCCCTAGGACCACAGTGCTTCCAAAAAAAGCTCATTTAATGGGCGCTTTTCTTATTAATTTCTCTTTTTAAAAATTTTATTTGAGGGGCTGGCACTGTGGCGGAGCGGGTAAAGCCCGCTGCCTGCTGTGCTGGCATCCCATATGGGCGCCGGTTTGAGTCCTGGCTGCTCCATTTCCAATCCAGCTCCCTGCTTATGGCCTGGGAAAGCAGTGGAAGATGGCTCAAGTGCTTGAGCCCCTGCACCCATGTGGGAGACCCAGAAGAAGCTCCTGGCTCCAGGCTTCAGATCAGCCCAGCTCCGGCTGCTGTGGCCATATGGGGAGTGAACCAGTGGATGGAAGACCTCTCTCTCTCTCTCTCTCTGCTTCTTTTTAGCTCTGCCTTTCAAATAAATGAATCTTTAAAAAAAATTGTTTGGAAGGCAGAGCTCCAGAAAGAGAGGGAGAGACAGAGAATCTTCCATCTATTGTTTCACTCCCCAAATGCCCACAACAGCCAGGGCTGGGCCAGGCTGAAGCCAGGAGCCAGGAACTCCATCTGGGTCTCCCCCGTGGGTGGCCAGGGCCCACCTGCTTGGGCCATCCTCCACTGCTTCCCCAGGTGCATTGGCTGGGGACTGGATCAGAAGTGTGCGAGCAGCTGGGACTCGAACTGGCACTTATTATGGGCTGCCGATGTTGTTGGCACGAGGCTTACCCTGCTGCACTACGGCGCTGGCCCCACTGATTTCTTCCTGTGGTTAGTGAACGCCACCTGGTGTTCATCTGGTATTTGTGTGGGTTTTTGTGGGAGATGGGGGGTGGGGAAATTTGAGTTCTTCTTATGGCCTAATAAATGATCACCTTTAGAGTGTTCAGTGTCTGTTTTTTGTTTTTTTTTAAGATTTTATTTATTTATTTGAAAGAGTTACACAGAGAGAGGAGAGGCAGAGAGAGAGAGAGAGAGAGGGAGAGAGAGAAAGAGAGGTCTTCTATCTGCTGGTTCACTTCCCAGTTGGCTGCAATGGCCAGAGCTGGGCCGATCCGAAGCCAGGAGCCAGGAGCTTCTTCTGGGTCTCCCATGCGGGTGCAGGGGCCCAAGGACTTGGGCCATCTTGTGCTGCTTTCCCAGGCCACAGCAGAGAGCTGGATGGGGAGTGGAGCAGCCAGGTCTCCAACTGGCACCCATATGGGATGCTGGCACTGCAGGCCAAGGTGTTAACCCATTGTGCCAGAGTGCCGGCCTCTGTGTTCGGTGTTTTTTTAAAGATGTGTATTCTCTTTGTTGCATGCAAAGTTATCTGTGTTTTAGATCAAACTTGCTAATCATGGTATTTTATAAAATTTATTATTATAAGGTGAACAAGTCTCGTACACACAGATTTAGGAGCAGAAGGGTGTGTCCATCCTAGCCTCCCTCCTGCCCAGCCAAGGCATTTAAAGGAGATGCCGCCTGTTACCGGTCACCAGCTTTGCTCTGCTGGTGGCTGAGAGCTGTGTGAGTCTCACTGCCCACGTGCATGTTCACCCTGAGGCTCTCATCATCTTCTTCCTGCTTTGGCTTCACCCGTGTCAAGCGTATGCTAGTAGGAACATCGGTGCTCATAGATAATGTATAGTTTTAGTGACTGGACCTTTTATCCACACGAAATACAACTCTTTGTTCCTTCCAGTCCCTTTTCACTTCATGCCATGATTGCTTGATGGAAATATTCCCATTCCTGGTGCCGCATTGTGGCTTAGGCGGCTGAGCCTCCACCTGCGACCCTGGAGTCCACTTCTGATCCAGCTTTCTGATGCGCCTGAGAAAGCAGCAGAAGACGGCCCAGGTGCCTGGGCCCCTGCACCCATGTGGGAGACCTGGAAGAAGCTCCTGGCTCCTCGGCTTTGGCCTGGCCCAGCCCTGGCCATTGTGGTCATTTGGGGAGTGAACCAGTGGGTGGAAGGTCTCTCCCTCTCTTCTGCTTCTCTCTCTCTCTCCCTTCTTCTCTCTGTAACTCTGCCTTTCAAGTAAATAAAAAATAATTCTTGAAAAATATATTAGCACTCCTTCTTTCTTATATTAACTTATTCTTATATTCTTCTTATATTAACTTATATTCATTATTAAACTCGGGCAATGCAGAGGGTAAAGGAGGAAGCTGTGCTGCCGTCCCAGCTGTCCGTCTTCCAGTGCCTCGTGCTATCCTTGGGCAGCTCCGTGTTCTTGTAGCTCTGTGTAGGGTGGGGGCTTAGTAACCAGAGTGCAGACGGAGAGAAGGGGTTTTAAAGGAATGACGAATGTTTTTAAAATTGATAGAGAGAGCACATTCCTGTCTGCTATTTCATCCCCCAAATGCCCACAGTGCTCAGGACTGGGCTGGGCCCAAACTGGCAGCCAAGGACTCAGGCCGGGTCTCCCCTGTAGCTGGAGGGCCCAGATCACGTGAGCCGTCTCCACTGCCCCAGGGTCCGCACGGGCAGGCGGCTGGAAGTGGGAGCTGGGCTTGGGAGTCGAACCCAGGCCCTCCGATATGGACGTGGGCATCTTAACTGGTATCTTTTTTTTTAAGATTTATTTTTCATTTATTTGTGAGAGTTACAGAGAGAAGGAAAGAGAGAGAGAGAGAGAGAGAGGGAGGGAGGGAGGGAGGGAGGGAGGGAGGGAGGGAGGGAGAGAGGTCTTCCATCACTGCTTCACTCTCCAGATGGCTGCAACAGCCAGGGCTGGGCCAGGCCAAAGCCAGGAACCTGGAGCTTCATCTGAGTCTCTCATGTGGGTGGAGGGGCCTAAGGACTTGGCCATCTTCATCCGGGGCACGAACAGGCGCCCATATGGGAATGCCAGCACCACAGTTGGCGGCTTAACCCACTGCACCCCAACACCGGCCCGGTAACTGGTATCTTAGCTGCGAGCCGCCACCCCAGAACGGCCGTGTGCTATTGATAGTGTTCAAGTCATCACAGCTCACTCTATTCAGCTGTATCAGAGGAAGTAGAATGACAAAGCTCAGACTCAAAACTCAAGTGTCTACATCAAAAGAGACAGCAGTTTCTTAAAAAAAAAAAAAAAAAAAGGAAGAAAGAAAGAAAAAGAAGAAACCCTCTAAAGCTCAGAAAAGAGGTTCTGAGAACCAGCAAGTGGTTAGGGGCTTCGTGAGGATGCCCTGGCTCCGCCTGACGCCCCGGCTCCTCCTGTCAGCCTTGGGAGGGCAGCGAGGAGCCGGCCCGCCCCCACTGCCCCCCCAGGACGTGGCCCCTGCGAAAGCCGAAGTCCCCGGCAGGCCAGCCTTGATGTGCTGTCCAGATCCGTGCCTGCGCCCTGGGGCAGGCCGGCCCAGCTCTCACTCCCACGCCTCACCTCACCTCACCGGTTCCGGTTCCCGCTCGGTGCATTTTTCCGGGAGGACTTGAGCCCGGGCCCCTGACAAGGGGGGTGGACATCCCAGGAGGCGTCTTAACTGCTGCGCCCGATGCCTGCCCCGAGAATAATCCTTATTCTTGCAAAACCAGAACTGTTTGCAGGCGGTCGGTCCTCCCCGGCGTCCCCCACCCCCCGCCCGGGGCCTGGCAGCCGACTTCCCGGTCCCACCCCCCGCCTGGGGCCTGGCAGCCGACTTCCCGGTCCCCGTGTGTCCCTGGGCTGCTCTGCCTCCCTTCTCACTTGCAGTCTTGAAGTCAAGTTTTCCGGGAGCTTTGCCTCTTGCTAAGGCTGCTCGCAGTGCCTCTGTTTCCGTTGGGCTCTTTGCTGTGTCCCTGTCCCGTTGTCCGCTGTGTCCCTGTCCCGTTGTCTGCCCCTCCCCTTCGCTCCTGCCACGATGGCCCAGCTGTCGCCTTTCTTGTCTTGCTCCAGCGTAGCGGGGGCGGCAGCTCCGTCCTGACGTGGTGGGTGCCGACCCCTCGGACGCCTCTGGCCTCACTGGGCTCCGGGGTGTCTTCTCAGCTCAGGGCTTCCTGTGGGGACTGAGGGTCACTTCTGAAACTCGTTTTGGAGCCTGAGGGTCGGGGACGGGAGGCATAGGTCAGCCAGAGGTGGGCGTGTGCTTGGGGTCGGGGTGGGTAGGGGCTGGGGATCTGCCTGCGCCCTGGGCAGGTGCTTGCTCAGAGCCCCGGCTGCCTGGGCTGCCTGGGCAGGGGCGCTGCACTGCTGGGGCTGCTTTCACCCCAGGCCAGGCCTGGCTTCCAGGAGGCCGGCACACCCGGCCAGACCGCTTCCCAGCGCTTGCTCGTTTGTCTCTTTCTTCTGCTCCCTCGACTGTTAGCGCTTGTTAAGTTTAGGACCTTCCTCCATTAGTGCTGCTTTTCCTGATAGTCGATGACTTCTACTTCTTCCCCCCAGTGAAAAATTTTACTTATTTTCCATTTTATTTGAAAGGCAGAGACTTAGAAGGCACGTAGTTGGTTCATTCTTCAACTGCTCTCTCTCTCTCTCTCTCTTTTATATTTATTTATTTGAAAAGCAGAATTACAGAGAGGCAGAGAGATAGAGATCTGGTGGTTCACTCCCCAGATGGCCACAATGGCTGGAGCTGTGCCGATCCGAAGCCAGGAGTCGGGAGCTTCTTCCTGGTCTCCCACATGGGTGCAGGGGTCCAAGGACTTGGGTCATCTTCCACTGCTTTCCCAGGCCACAGCAGAGAGCTGGATTGGAAGTGGAACAACTGGGACTTGAACATGTACTGATATGGGATGCCAGCACTGCAAGTGGTAGCTTTACCCAGTACACCACAGTGCCACGTCCCCTAGCCCCAAAATGCTCTTAACAGCCAGGGCTGAGCCAGACTGAAACCAGAAGCCTGAAACTCCATGTGCGTCTCCTCTGTGGCTGACAAGGACCCAACTACTTGAGCCATCGTCTCCAGGGTGTGCAATAGCAAGAAGTTGAATTCAAAGTAGAGTAGCCGGTGGGGGGGAGGGGCATTCAGTGCTGTGGCACAGTGGGTAAAGCCTCCACCTGCAGTGCCAGCATCCTATATGGGGGCCGGTTCATGTCCTGGCTGCTCCACTTCCAATCCAGCTCTCTGCTGTGGCCTGGGAAAGCAGTGGAAGATGGCTGAGGTCCTTGGGCCCCTGCACCCACATGGGAGACCTGGATGGAGCTGCTGGCTCCTGGCTTCAGCCTGGCCCAACCATTGCTTCCATCTGGGGAGTGAACCAGAGGATGAAGACTCTCCCTTTCTCCCTTTCTCTCTCTCTCTCTCTCTCTCTCTCTCTCTCTCTGCCTCTCTCTGCCCTTCAAATAAATAAATCTTTTAAAAACCTTATTTATCTGTTTGAGAGACCCCTATGTATTTATTGCGAAAGAGTGGTGGTGGGCAAGGGGAGAATTCTGGGATGCCTGTGCTAACCAGGGCTGGGCTGGGGCTGGAGCCAGGAGCCGGAGTCTCAATCCAGGTCTCCCATGTGGGTGTCAGGAACCCACTCACACCACTGCCTCCCAGGGCTGCCTCAGCAGGAAGCTGGGATCAGGAGCCGAGCTGGGGCTCATACCGGGTGCTGTCTCCACCAGCGTTTTAACTGTTGGGCCAGATGCCTGCTCCTCGTTGTGAGTTGTTTTTAAAGATTGCTTGATTTGAAAGAGAAGGAAAGACAGAGAGAGAGAGAGAGAGGGAGATCCCGTCTACTAGTTTGCTCCCCAAACAGGGCTGGGCCAGGCCAAAGCCAGGAGCCAGGAGCTTCCTCCAGTTCTCCTGTGTGTGTGGCAGGGACCCCAGCATCTGAGCTGTCTAATGCTTTCCCAGGTGCATTAGCAGGGCGCGGGACCGGAAGTGGAGCAGCCGGCATGGCTGGCGCCCACATGGGCTGCCGGCATTGTGCAGGAGGCAGCTTAACCTGCTGCGCCAGAGCGCAGGCCCCTCATTATGGTTTTAATTTGCGTTTCCCTAGTTGCTAATGAGTTGAGTGTCTGATCTTGTGTGTATTGCCACTCATTTATCATCCTTGGAGAGACGTCTGCTCAAGTCCTGGCTGTTAGAAAAATCGACAGACTTCATTTATTGCTTTCAGAGCAGTTTTAGGCTTATAGAAAAAATGCACAGGAAGTGCCAAGATTTCCCATTTACCTACTCCCTGGCCCCTCAGTTTCCATCTTCAACACGGGCCAGTGCATGGTGCAGTGGGTAAAGCCGCTGCCTGCGACACCAGATCAGGGTACCAGCTCAGGTCTCGGCTGCTCCACTTCCCATCCAGCTCCTTGCTCACGCGCCTGGGAAAGCAGCGGAAGGAGGCTGAGTGCCTGGACCCCTGCCACCCACAAGGGACACCCTGATGGAGCTCCAGGCTCCTGGCTTCAGCCCGGCCCAGCCCTCCCTGGCTGTTGTGGCCTATGGGGGAGCAAACCAGAAGATGGAAGATCTCCCTTTCTCTCTCTCTGACACTCTGGCTTTCAGATAAATAAAAATCAATCCTAACAAACTTTGCGTTAGTGCCCCAGGCTTGTTCTGCCCACCCCTGACACTCTGTTGTTCACCCAGGTCCATGCCTGATGGCTGGGTTCCCTGGGGTGCTGCAGACTCCGGGCTCGGACGGGTGGCTAACGGCACGGCCCCCACCCCAGCGCCACACGGAAGGGTTTCCCTGTGCTCCACCTGCGCCCTCCCCCGAGTCCCGGGGGCTCCCACCTTTGTGCTGTCCCCACGTCCCAGAGTGTCACACCTGGGCATCCCAGCACACCGCGGCTGTCACTCACAATGTGTGTGGAAGGTTCCGCGTGTCTTTTGCCTGCTTTACAACTGGGGCATTCATTTATTTCCAGCCCATTTTAGTGGCCTGGGGGTGTGGGTTGTGGACCCCGCTAGCTCTCCTGTCCTCCCGGGGGCTCTGCACGGAAGGGCCCAGATGCCATTCCCTGCACTACAGAGGCCCACGGTGGCATCTGATGCCCTGGGCGAGGCTGTCTCCACCCTTGTCCCTGCCCTGATCCCCCAACCCCGTGGTGCCCCTCTGTGCCCTTCAGACGACCTTGTGGAGAAGAGGCCGTGCTCCTGGAACTCCTCCCGCGTCTGCGAGTGTCGGCCGGGCATGTTCTGCGCCACCTCCGCGGCCAACTCGTGCGCCCGCTGCCAGGCCCGCCCCGCCTGCCCCCCAGGGATGGCCAGCAGGTTCCCAGGTAAGTCCCCACCCGAGGCCCAGGGCTGAGGTGTGTGCTGCCGCCCCCTCACCTAGCGACTCTGACCTCCAGCCTGTAGGGCTGCTTCCAGGAGGCACCGTGCACCTGCCCGCCGGCACCCCGGTGCTCCAGGCCTGGATGGCCCGTGCCTGTCTGTTCTTTGGAGCTGCTTGTGTTTCTTCAGCTCTGTGTCTGGGGTATGGGAGGAAGGGGCACCTCCAGGGACTCGCGCGGTGTTGCTCCTTGGTCCCCGGCTCCCGGCTGGGGCCTTTGTTGTATGCATCACTTCCAAGGCTTTTAGCTGCCCTGGTGGGGGAACAGGGAAAGGCGTATCTCTCACCAGAGGGAGCCTTGGGGTTCTTGTCTTTGTGCAAGAAAGAATTCAGGTGAGAGACGAGAGCAAAGTAAACAAGTAGCAAGGTTTTCCTGGGGACAGGGCATCTGTCAGAACGGAAGGGACAGAGAGAGCGAGCCCAGACACTCGGACTGGGGGAGAGCGAGCTTGCATGGTTGAGTGGAGAGAACACATCGGGCAGGCAGAGGGCTGGGCTGCGAGGTTTTGAGGGAGTCTCTCTCTCCCCCTCCCCCTTCTCCTCCAGGACCAAAGGTTTGCTGAGTGTGAAATTCCTTCCCCGTAGGGGGAGCCCTGGCACAGGCAAAGGGCTTCCCCCGAGGGCAGCTCTGAAGGTTTCGTTGCCCCGAGTTACCAGGCCAGGGAACCCGCCTGGTCCTGGAGAGGGAGAATCCTCCGGGGAGCCCTCCTTGGGGGCGGGGCTGGGGCCACCTGGGAGGCTCTCAGGGTCTGGGCGGGACCTTCAAGGGTAGGTGCTGGGCTTCCTCTCACTCACACACAGGCTGATTGCTAACTCCCACCTAACTTATCTACTCTATCTGCCCAGCATGGAGTCTTGGAGAACACGCTTCTCTGCACAGCCCCTCCCTTTCAGCTGCACCTGCCCTGCAGGGCTGCGTGTGCTTCTCCCTCCCCCGGGCCTTTGCCTGCCTTTGCCCCTGTGGGGACACACTTCCTCTGCACAAGGGGACCCGCTCAGTCCCTTCCTACTCAGCCTGGGCTCTGTGGCCAGACACCACTTCCTCGGGGGCCTCGCCTGATCGCTCCCCAGGCGGCTCAGCACGGGAGCTTCTGCAAACGTGGGCAGGTACCTTCGTTACCTTTGTTCCTGTCCGGGGCTGACCCATGCCCGTCTCCCTCCTAGGCCTGAGGCCTCACGAGGACAAACAGCAGGTGCACGGGGCTCACCCTCGTCTCTCCACTGCCTGATCAAACGCCAGGCGTGGGCTCCGTCTCCATGGGTTCTTGCTGAATGACATGGGGCACCGGACAAGGAGATTGGAGCTGGGGTGGGTGGGGTTCTAGTCTAGTCAGAGTCTCCTTGGGTCCCAGGGGAGCACTCAGCTAAAGGACACAAAACCCTCCACCCACAAGCAGGGGCAGTGCCCTGGACTGGTGTCAGCTACCTGGACTTTTCCAAAGCTTTGCATCTCTGGGGCATGCTCCCACCCTTTTCTACGCCTCAGTCTCCCCAGCTGTAAGATAAAGAGGTGGAATTTGAAGGCCTTGGTGGCCTTCGAAGCTCAGAAAACCTTGCATTTCTGCCTTGCCTGAGTGAGTCGTTCTAGCTGGGCTTGGAGCCGGCTTCCTGCCTGCCTGGCTGTCTGGGCTGTGTTCCTGTGACTGCCACACGGTGGCGCCAGACCCCACTCCTTGCTGCTGCACTGCCCAGTGCAATCCCACTGGCCGTGGGCAGCCACGGAGCACTGAGACTGTGGCTGACCCACACTGAATGCCCGTGAGCATGGAGGGCCTGCTGCATCTCAAGGCTGAGTGTGAAGAAGGGATGTGTCCCGTCAGGATACTGATGACCTGGGCGTGTGATCAGATTTCAGATCATTGAGTCAAATAAATACATTATTAAAATTCATATTTTTAGAGATTTATTTATTTATTTGAAAGACAGAGTGACAGGGAGGGGGAGAGAGAGAGCTTCCATCTGCAGGTTCACTCCCCAAATGGTTTCAACAGACAGGGCTGGGCTAGGCTGAAGCCAGGAGCCTGGAGCTCCTTCCAGGTCTCCCATGCAGGTGGCAGGGAGCACCTGGGCCATTTTCTGCTGCTTTCACAGGCGTGTTAGCAGGGAGCTGGATCAGAAGCAGAGCAGCTGGGACTGGAACCAGTGCTCCGATTTGGGATGCCAGTGTCGCAGGCTCTGACTTAACCTGGTGCGCCACAACACTGGCCCCTTAAAATTCCTTTTAGTGATTTCTTTTTACTTTGTAAAGTCTAGCTTCTAGAAAATTTATTTATTTATAGATTTATTTGAAAGGCAGAGTTACAGAGAAAGAGAGAGAGAGAGGGAGACAGCGACAGATCTTCCATCTGTTGGTTCACTCCCCAAATGGCTGCAACAGCTGGGGCCGGGCCAGGCCAGCGCCAGGAGCTTCATCTGGGTCTCCCATGTGGGTGTGGGAGCCCCAGCACTCGGGCCATCTTCCACTGCTTTCCCAGGCCATTAGCAGGGAGTTGAATCAGAAATGGAGCAGCCGGGACTCGAACCGGCGCCCATCTGGGATGCCGGTGTGGCAGGTGCCGGCTTAACCTGCTGTGCCACAGTGACATATGAGAGACATCACGTTTCTGTTGGGTATCACTGCTTCAGAGGTGCTCTGGGCTTTGCTGCCACATCTTGCTCTCTCCTGCTTCCCTGCGCCCCCCACAAACCCCCCCAGCGGAGCCCCCCAGGCTGGGTTTTTAAAAGCAAAAGTTTTTTAAAGTGCAAGCTGGCCTCTGCTTCCGGGTCAGCTGGGAGGCTCCGCTGGCTTCCTCTCCCGGGATTCCCGAGTCTCCATACGCCCTGATTTCCAAGGGAGGAAACAACTGGAGGCCCAGGCCGGGGGTGGGGGGGGTAGGTTACCGGAGGACACCCAGCAGGGAACAGCCTCACAGGGATTCGAATGTCAAGCCTCAGTCTTTTACCCCAGCCCGCGACACATCCCTAACAGAGGCCGGCGTGGCTCCCGCCATCTTCCCTGAACCCCTGGGGTGCGGTACCACGCTGGGGTCACCTGAGTGTCACGGAGCAGGACTGGGGGTGGGGAAGGACGTGCTGTCACGGGGCGCTTCCGGTCCGCGTGCGCCTGCTGTGGGCGGACAGCCGCGTGCACTCTCCCTTGGCCGTGGCCTGTGGTAGCAGGCGACTTGCCCGGCACAGCAGGGCCCTGGGGGCTGAGGCTCAGGTGTGCTTGCTGGGATGCACCTGTGTTTTCCGGTCCACTCTGCTCCCACCATGACGCTTTGGGTTGCCCGTGACAGCATCCCCATGTTTGCCATGAGTCCCAGCATGGCTGGACCCCGGGGCTCTGTCTTTCCCGCCTCTCATCTCTTCCCTTCTGTCCGGAAGAGCGGGGCTCCAGGCTTGCTTCCTGCCACGCCTTGGTGGAAAGAACACCATCTTTCTTGCCATACGTTTCCCTTCCTGCCGGAACCAAGGCCTTAGAATCGCCTCGGGCAGGCGTGGCTGCGTGTGCGCCCCACCCTGAGCAGCCGGTCTGGCCCGAGGAGTGGCCTGGGTTGATCAGTCCCCCTGGTCCTGGGGTCTCCCATGGCGGGGAGCCTCGGTCCCAGACCTGACTCGCAGAGACTGAGATGGGAGCTGGGGGACCCTCCCCCCGCCCCGGGACGTTCAGGCTGCTGGAACCCTGGTGGCCCCTGCGTTTCCGAGACTCTGCAGGTGCACCCCCGCCACGTGGCTCCTCCACGCCCCTTCTGAAGGCACTGTGATCCCCGCAGGCACAGCCAAGGACGCCGAGTGTGAGCCGCCTTCCCCGGCCACCAGCCCTGCCTGTAGCAGCCCGGAGGACTGCAAGGCGCCCCCCAGGTGACTCCAGCCCCCTTCCTCCTCCTCCTCCCTTCAGGGGAGTTGTCCCACCCCTCAGGGTGCGGCTGGGTGGCGGTGCAAGGGGTGCCTTAGCCCAGGCCACAAGTCACGTGCAGCCCCACTGTGGGCGCACATGCTGTCCCTGGGAGCTCACAGCCGGCCTGCCGGGGGCTGGGATGGGGGCTGGGCCGGGGGCCAAGGGCTGCCTCCACCCAGCACCAGTGTCCCTGAGCAGGAACCCCCCAGGGCCCCAGGGCGGGATTGTCAGGGCCACCTCTGGCTCTTCCCCAGGGGCACCGCTCCCCAGGCCAAGCCCAGCCTGAGGTCCCCAGCCACCTCCAGTACCAGGACCACGCTCCTCACGGGGGCCACCCCTCCCACCCCAGAGGATGCTTCTAGACCACCGAGGACCGACCCTCCCTCCACCATGGCCAACCTGGGCATAGACCCAGACCCAGGTAAGGGCCGGTGAGGCCGGCCGTCTCCCTGGCAGCGGCGTTCTGTGGGTGAACTACGTGCGAGTGCTGGTGGCCAGGGCAGCTGGGCACTGTGCCTCTCTCTTTGACCGGAGGGCACAGAGGAGGGTCTCAAGGGCGGAGCTGGCGAGCTGTGGGTGTCGAGGGCCGGAGGTGGGCCCTGCAGTGGGCTCGCTGTCTGGGGATGTAACAGAGACCTGGCGTGGGAAAACTGCCTCTAAGCAGGCACCAGAGAGTGGAGGAGCCAAGCAGTGTATCAACGCCACGGGCTCAGCTGGAATCATTCCTGAGACCTGAGCGACAGTCCCGAGTGTCTTACATAGTTGTAGGCTCATCAGCATTGCACCTTAGCTGTTCCAGCATTGGTGGGTTTAAATTGCAGCCTACGTGACTTAGGACTACACTTCCAATGGTCTGCGGGCTGGCGTGTTTGTAAAAGAGAATCCTAGGGCGGATTTATTAGCACAGATTTATGACTGGAGTTGGCAGAAGCAGAACTTAGGACGTCGTCCCTCCCTGGACACCATCCCAGGGCAGCTGCTCCGCTGGTTAATTGCTAGTGGCCACTTTACAAGGTCTGTGCCGGGAGGAGGGGCCCGTGTTTGTCTGGTTGTGGCTGCATTTCCTCTACAACAACACTTCCGAGGGCCATCTGCTGGCCAGGCAGCGTCCGGGCGCTGAGCCGATCCTGGGCGAGCCTTCCTTGTTCCCAAGGTGACAGACGGGCCCTTGCTCCACTCCCTTTACTTATTATTTCTAAAAATATCTATTTTACTTATTTGAGAGAGGGAGAGAGAGAACACTCCCATTTGCTGGTTATTCCCCCAAATGCCAGGCTGGGTCTCGCATGTGGGCGACAGGGATCCAAGCACCCAGACCATCCTCTGCTGCTCTCCCAGGTGCATTAGCAGAGAGCTGGATAAGAAGTGGAGCAGCTGGGACTCGAACCAGCATCCATGTGGAATGCTGGCATCACAGGTGGTGGCTCAACTCTGTGCCACAGCGCCAGCTCCAATCTCAGAACTTGGAGCAACACTGGACATGAGCCCTTTGTCCCCGGGCTGTGTTCAGGGGGCCCCTCCCTCCTGTGCATGGCCTCCCTGTGCCGTGTGGTGCCGGTGGATGCCAGGAGGGTCCGCCCTGTCCCGCAGTCCCTCTGACCCCGTGGTTTGTGCCGCGTGCTCTCTGTGCTCAACCACCTGTATGTATTTTCTAGGATGATTACTGCTTTTCCTTCATACCCTTAACTTTTATTTATTTATTTTTAAAAAATTAAAAGATTTATTTATTCATTTGTGCTACGGGGAGGGGGGGGAGAATCTTCCATCTGGTGGTTCACCCCCCCAAATGGCCATGATGGATGGGGCAGGCCAAGCCAAAGCTAGGAGCCTGTCACTCCCTCTGGGTCTCCCGCGTGGGTGCAGGGGTCCAAGCACTTGGGCCGTCGTCTGCTGCTCTCCCAGGCCATTAGCAGGGAGCTGGATGGGAAGAGGAGCAGCTGGGATGCGAACCTGTACCCATATGGGATGCTGGCACTGCAGGCGGCGGCTTTACCAGCTATGCCATGCCCTGGTCCTGGTATTATTTTGAACTATGAGAAATTACTGATATTTGACCATTTTTGACCGACAAAACCAGAACTTTGTATGGCTCAACAAATCCTCATCTACAGAAATCCAAGGTGTGTTTTTTTTTTTTTTTTTTTTTAAGATTTACTTATTTATTTGAAAGGCAGTGACAGAGAGGCAGAGAGAGAGGGAGAGAGAGAGATCTTTCATCTGCTGGTGCACTGCCCAAATGGCCACAATCGCCAGAGCTGGGCCGATCCGAAGCCAGGAGCCAGGAGCTTCCTCTGGGTCTCCCACGCGGGTGCAGGGGCCCAAGCACTTGGGCTGGTCTCTGCTGCTTTCCCAGGCGCGTGAGCAGGGAGCTGGATCGGAAGCGAGCAGCCGGGACTCTCACGGTGCTCTGTGGGTGCTGTGCTGCAGGAGAAGGCTTCCCCGCGGCCCCCCTGTCTTTGATGTGGCGAGGCTGTGCCCAGCTGCCTAGCCTCGCTGAGCTCCCTGCTTTGCGCCAGTAGGGCACCTGCGACAGGCGGCTTGTCCGTGAGGGACAGCCTGGCTTTGCTCTTCCCTGCTCTGCCGCATTGGCTGGCGTCTCCTGTGCCCTAATAGGGTGGACCCCCTTGCCTTGTTCTATGACAGCCACGAGCAGGAAAGTGGCATGGCCACAGAACCGGGAGAGGCTGGCATGATGGCCGTGTTGGGTCCCAGAGGGCAGAGTGGGAGGCGGGGGCCAGTGGGACACAGCTGGTGCTCCTCCGTGGGGCTGGGACACGTCCCTTCCCTCCGAGTCTCAGGACTGCGTCTGCAAGGCGGGGCTCACCTGATGGGGGCGGGGGTGGGGTGGGAGGGATTGGGAAGCTGGGCCCGGTGCGTGGGGGCTTCAGGGATGGGGGGGTGGTAAGACCCTTGCCCGGGCGGCCTGGCCTGGAGCTCCTCTGCTCTTCCCAGGGTCGTCCCCGACGCCGACACAGCTGTGCCCGCAGGGGTCTCCCAGCTGCAGGAAGCAGTGCCAGCCAGACCACTACCTGGACGCGAACGGCCGCTGCATGGCCTGTGTGAGCTGCTTGCGTGGTAAGACCCTGCAGACAGTGGGGGGGGCTCGTGGGGAGGCGGAGGCCTGTGGGGCTGGGGAGAGACCTGGTGTCTCCAGTGACTCCTGCTCCGTGCGTGGGGGCCCCTGAGCAGAGCTCCCCCCATGCTCCTTCTTCCCTTCATGGAAATTTACCCATCAACCCCCTCCAGGTTCCACAGCCGTTCCAGCCTCGTAGGCACTGCGATTGCCCCATTTTACAGATGGGAAGACTGAGGCTTTGGGAAGTCTGGGGACTTCTGACGGCTGGAGCTTGCAGCCAGGCACAGCTACCACGGGTTCTGGCTCTTGTCCATCCTCAGGGAGCCCCCTGCCTGCTGGCGCTTCCCAGGGGCTCCCGTAGGACAGGTGGGATGAGGGTGCTGGGCTTTCCCCTGGACAGCTCACCACAGCTGCGTGGCAGCATCGGCCGTCCGGTGCCATTCGCCAGGGCCACGCAGGGCAGGGAAGCTGCCGGCGCCACGGGCCACTCACAGAGGCCGCTGGGAACGGTGCTTCTGCCTCCTTGTCCGGAGCCTCGGCCTCGTGGCAGTGAGGACAGGAGAGGCAGGGAGGCTGTCCGAGGAGAGGCAGGGAGGATGTCCGAGGAGTGGCCTCCGTCCAGTTCCCAAGGCTGCGTGGCAACTTTTCCCCAAACTCGGTGATGCAAACCAGCCATTTGTCGTGCTCCTGGGTTCTGTGGGCTGGAATCCAGACCGGCCCTGCCCTGCGGCGCCTGGGGTCCTGGCTGGGAGACCTGCAGGTGCAGCTGGGATCAGGTCATCGCTGTCATCCGCTGTCTGGGGGACGGCACCCAGCTCCTGCCCAGGGCCTCTCCTGGGCTTCCCTCAGAGGCGGAGACAGTGAGCGAGCGAGCGAGGGAGAAGCAGAGGCAGGGACAGAGACGGAGGGACAGGTGGTGGCAGCAGCCTGTCCTTGGTCACCCAGTGGGGCCTCAGCCGAGGTTCTCACGAGTCTCGCTTGCGATGGAGGAAGGGAAATAATTGCACTGCAGATGGATTTATTTGAATAGTAGAGAGAGAGGACAGACAGACAGGCAGACAGATCCCGTCTCTGGCTTACCGCGGAACGCCTGCAGCAGCTGGGGCTGGGCCAGGAGCTGCCGGGGCCGGGAGCTGGGCCGGGTCCCCACAGGTGTCTCCGGGAACTCTGCCCTCACCTTGCGATTCCGGCTTCCGTGAGCGCCGCGAGGTGCCCGAGTAGAAACGTGTTCCATGTTCTTACGTCTTTTCTTTCGCAGAACCTCTCTCACTTTATTTTTGCCTAAGAAAAAATTCTTTTTCCCAGCACCGGAAACTCCAAACATAGCAGGGAGCGGGCTCAGTTGGGCTGTGCTTCCTCCGTGGCTTTAAACAGTTACAGCCACGGCCAGAATGGGTCCACAGAAGCCCAGGCTGCTCCGCTGTGCCTGGGGGGGGATCGGTTAGCTTCACTGAGATCGGGGTCGCGTGTGTGCTCTGGGCAGTGGCCTCTGAGCTGCCCGCCGCCCCGGGGTTTCCTCCAGCCACTGTTCCCCACCTGCTGTCCCTGCCCCACCCCCAGCCCCAGCTTCCTGTGGGGGAGGGAATGTTTGCATTTTCTAGGATTTTCCATAACTGTGCTCCCGGCCCCTCCCCCACCTCTCTGTGCCCTTCAGACGACCTTGTGGAGAAGAGACCGTGCTCCTGGAACTCCTCCCGCGTCTGCGAGTGTCGGCCGGGCATGTTCTGCGCCACCTCCGCAGCCAACTCGTGCGCCCGCTGCCAGGCCCGCCCCGCCTGCCCCCCGGGGATGGCCATCGACCCCCAGGGTAAGCCGTGCCCACCCCAACCACAAGGCTGAGGTCTCTGCCCCTCCTGCCGAACCTCTGGCCTGACCATGACCTTCAACCCCGGCTGTTAGCGAGGTCAGGTTTGGACTTTGGTTATTCTTTGAGTAATTAGTCCCAGTTAGCAGAATAAAATCTGTATTTGGCATTTTGGTAAGATTTTGATGATTTTTAAAAAAGATTTATTTATTAGCCGGCGCCGTGGCTCAATAGGCTAATCCTCCACCTTGCGGCGCCGGCACACCGGGTTCTAGTCCCGGTTGGGGCGCCGGATTCTGTCCCGGTTGCCCCTCTTCCAGGCCAGCTCTCTGCTATGGCCAGGGAGTGCAGTGGAGGATGGCCCAGGTGCTTGGGCCCTGCACCCCATGGGAGACCAGGAAAAGCACCTGGATCCTGGCTCCTGCCATCGGATCAGCACGGTGCGCCGGCTGCAGCGGCGGCCATTGGAGGGTGATCCAACGGCAAAGGAAGACCTTTCTCTCTCTGTCTCTCTCTCTCACTGTCCACTCTGCCTGTCAAAAAAAAAAAAAAAAGATTTATTTATTTATTTGAAAGTCAGAGTTATACACAGAGAGGAGAGGCAGAGAGAGAGAGAGAGAGAGAGGTCTTCCATCCACTGGTTTGCTCCTCAATTGACCCCAATGGCCTGAGCTCCACTGATCCGAAGCCAGGAACCAGGAGCTTCTTCTGGGTCTCCCACGTGGGTGCAGGGGCCCAAGGACTTGGGCCATCTTCTACTGCTTTCCCAGCCACAGCAGGGAGCTGGATTGGAAGTGGAGCAGCCGGAACTTGAACTTGCGCCCGTATGGGATGGCAGCACTGCAGGCGGCTGTCTCAACCTCTAGCGCTGGCCTCTTGATGATTTCTTTTCATTGTTTGAGAGGTAGAGAGCTTCCTATCTGCTGCTTCACCCCCCACTCTCCCCGTCCCGTGCACCCTCAGTGCCTGCAATGGCTAGGACTGAGCCAGGTTGGAGCCGGGACCTAGGAACTCAACCCAGGTCTTCCGCATGGGTAGCAGGGACCCGACTCCGGGGGCCATCACCTGCTGCCTCCCAGGTGTGCGTCAGCAGGAAGCTGGATTGGGAGCTGGGACTGGAACTCAGGCTGGCCCAGTGTGGAGAAGCTCCTCGCCCTGCTACCAGCTACAGGAATATTCCATAAAGTCCTTTTTGATATAAGCACGAATGAGCAGCCACAACCGTCAGACTTGCAAGGAAAGCCAGCGCTGGGGAGGGGGAGGGACCAGGTATGCAAGCAGAAAACCCCAGCATGCCGAAGCAGCAACAGAGGAGAACCTAGCATTAAACTCCTGTCCACAGAAAAATTCCCCAAGTTGTTACAGCCGTAAAGCGAGCTTAGGATGCTATAAAAACGGAGCAACAAGAGATCAGAGGGCGAGAAGTGGGTTTCAGGCCTGTGTGGTACTGACCTATCCCCTCGGGGCTGGGGCTCCCCTCGCACCTGCTCTCCTTGGCAGTGAGCGTGATGCTCAGCTTCGCCAGTAGAGGGCGCAGGGAGCCACTGCAGGAGGAAAGCGGCTCCTAGGGTGGTCTTGGCTTGTTCCGGCTCCTGCTGCAGTCTGCCTGCCCCAGGGTGTGTAGGGTGGGGGTGTGGGGGCACATCTGGGGGTGCTCTGCCTCCGTGGCGCTCCCGGAGCAAGCAGACCGCACAGCCCCAGCTTATGCCTGGGGACCACCCTCATGTGGCCCTGCCTATGCAAGTTGACACCTGCAGGGTTGGCCAGCAGAAGGGATGGCTGTCCTGCTGACCAGCTGAGCCAGGGCAGAGCGGGATGACCAGGGCTCAGAGAAGGGGGAATTGCAGTACATTTCATGATTACTAGAGTTGAAAACCTGAGGCTGTGGTAAAGACACATTATTCTTAAAAAAAAAAAAAAAAAGATTTTGGGGTCAGCGTTGTAGTGCAGCTGGTTAAGCCACCGCCTGCAAAACCAGCATCCGATATGGGTGCCGGTTCGAGACCCAGCTGCTCCACTTCTGATCCAGCTCCCTGCCGATGCACCTGGGAAAGCAGCAGAGGATGAATCAAGTCCTGAGGCCCCTGGACCCACGTGGGAGAGCCGGATGGAGCTCCAGACTTCTGGCTTCAGCCTGGCTCAGCCCTGGCTGTTGCAGCCATTTGGGGAGTGAACCAGCAGACGGACGATCTCTCTCTCTTCCTCCCTTTCTCTCTCTCTGACTTTTTGTTTTGTTTTGTTTTGTTTTGACAGGCAGAGTTAGACAGTGAGAGAGAGAGAGAGAGACAGAGAGAAAGGTCTTCTTCCATTGGTTCACCCCCAAAATGGCCACCATGGCCGGCCCTGTGCTGATCTGAAGCCAGGAGCCAGGTGCTTTTCCTGGTCTCCCATGGGGTGCAGGGCCCAAGCACTTGGGCCATCCTCCACTGCCCTCCCAGGCCACAGCAGAGAGCTGGGCTGGAAGAGGAGCAACTGGGACAGAACCGGTGCCCCAACCGGGACTAGAACCCGGTGTGCCGGTGCCACAGGCGGAGGATTAGCCTAGTGAGCTGCAGCGCTGGCCATTTCTCTCTCTGACTTTAAAATTTTAAAAAATGATATTAAATTTTCTTTTCAAAAATGGAAGTGATATTTAAACTGGAGGAATGCACCCCGTGCTCTGCCTCCCGGAAGTCACCGGCCCCCGCTGGTGAAGTCCTTCCTGGAGACACCAGGCTCGCCACACTGACCCTAAGATGTTGTCACCCTCAGAAATTCCCGCTGAGAGCGACGCCACCCCTGAGCCGCCTCCCCCGGGGACCCTCCCTGACTGCAGCTCCCCCGAGGACAGTGGGGCGCCTGCCAGGTGACTCCCGCCCTTTCTCTCCTTGGGCTGCTGGGGGACGTGGGGAGGGGAGACGGCTGGGCCTGGTGGAGGGGTCCTGGGCTGGGAGGGCGTCTTGGGGACAGTGTGTCCTGCTCTGTGCTGGCACCACTGGCAACCTGCAGAGCGAGACCACACGCTGCCTCCGGCGTGCTCGGCAGGGGCCGTGCGCAGAGGCCGGGGCCTGGGCTGTGTCCCCGGCAGGGGCCGTGCGCAGAGGCCGGGGCCCGGGCTGTGTCCCCCGGCAGGGGCCGTGCGCAGAGGCCGGGCCCGGGCTGTGTCCCCCGGCAGGGGCCGTGCGCAGAGGCCGGGCCCGGGCTGTGTCCCCCGGCAGGGGCCGTGCGCAGAGGCCGGGCCCGGGCTGTGTCCCCGCCGAATCCCGAGGTAGCGAGTGGTGCCTGTGCAAGCACTCTCCCTGCTCTCCCTGCAGCACCGCCACGCTCAGCTCCCAGCTGGACCCCCACACCCGCTCCTCCAGCACCCCCGGCTCCTCCTCCTCCACCCGGAAGCCCACGCTGGATCCAGGTAGGGACCGCCCCAGGGCGGGGCCTGGGTGGAGCCAGCCTCCTCCGGTCAGGAGGTGGGGGTGCCGGTGGTGGGAATCAAAGTGGACCGCGGGGTTCGGGCCTCCGGGGCCGGGGCGGAGTCGCTGGCTCCGTTGCTGGCTCCCGCTTCATTCCATGGCCCATCACTCCCCTTGAGAAGAGCTTTTAAAAAAGATTTCATTTATTTTTGTGTTTTAAAGATTTGCTTGTTCTTTACTTGAAAGTCAGAGTTGTGGAGAGAGAGGGAGAGACAAAGATCTCCCATCAGCTGGTGCACTCCCCAGATGGCCGCAATAGCCAGAGCTGAGCCAAGCCCAAGCAGGAGCCAGGAGCTTCTTCCAGGTCTCCCACATGGGTGCAGAGGCCCAGGCACTTGGGCCATCTTCTCCTGCTTTCCTAGGCCATAGCAGGGAGCTGGATTCAAGAGGAGCACCCGGGTCTTGAACCAGCCCCCATTTGGGATGCTGGTGCCGCAGGCAGAGGCTTAGCCGGCTACACTGCATCGCTGGCCCCCAAACACCTTGATTTTCACATTTGGTGCCTCAACTCATTTTCTATTTATTTATTTATTTTAAGATTTATTTATTTATTTGAAAAGCAGAGTTACACAGAGAGAGAGAGACAGACAGACAGACAGATCTGTCCACTGGTTCACTTCCCAACTGGCCAGAAGGGTCCAGGCCGAATCCAGGAGCCAGGAGCTTCATTTGGGTCTCGCTGTGGGTGGCCAGGGCTCAAGTGTTTGGGCCTTCCTCTGCTGCTCTCCCAAGCACAGTAGCAGGGAGCAGGATGGGAAGTGGAGCAGCCAGGACTCGCATCAGTGTCTGTGTGGGATGCCGGCATTGCAGGTGGTGGCTTTACCCGCGACGCCCCAGTGCCAGCCCCCAGAAAATATTTCGTGAGTGATTTCATGACCTTGACTAGTTGTTTAATTCCATCGAGCTTCAGTTTTCTCTTCTGTAAAGCTGCAGTGGCACAGCCACGGGGGGCTGCGTGTGACTTGTCCACACGTGGCTGGCGTGGGACTGTCCCACATATCTGGCAATTCACGTTAAGATTTGCAGTTCTGGGGGGGGCATCGTTGTGGGGTAGTGGGTTAAGCTGCATCTGCAGTGCCAGCATCCCATATGGGTCGTGGCTCCTGTCTCAGCTGCTCCACTTCCTGCCCAGCTTCCTGTAATGTACCTGGAAAGTTGTGGAGGACGCCCAAGCGCTTGGGCCCCTGCACTCACGTGGGAGACCCGGATGAAGCCCTTGGCTTTGGCCTGTCCCAGCCCTAGCCATTGCAGCCATTTGGGGAGTGAACCACTGGATGGAAGATCTCTCTCTCCCTCTCCCTTTCTGTCTCTGTAACTCTGCCTTTCAAATAAATCAATCTTAAAAAAAAATACTTGCAGTTCTGACTATGGACACTAGGTGGAGGTAGTTCTCAGGTCTTTAAGGGCTTTAAGGGCTGAGACGCCCTTAGCCGGCGCTGACTCTGAACACCTGAAAATGGACATAAACGGAAAGGGATGGCGGCACGGGTGAGCTCACCGGGGAGGCCGCTGCAGCCCTAAGGCGTAAGGAGATGCAGCCAGACAGGCCCCTGGCCTGGCCGGAGCCCTGACCTCCCATTTACCCCCCGGGGGACCTCGGGCAGGTTTCCTAGCCGTCACGGACCTCAGTTTCCCTAGTTTGTGAAATGGAGACATGCAAGGTTTCCAGGCATGGGGAACCCCTGTTTTGGGGGTGCCCAGGGCGGCCCCTCCCTGCTGCAGCCACACTGCGAGCCGCGAGCCACCCGTCCCCCTCCTCCACGTCCTGTTAACCCCCATTTCTCACCCTCTCCTCCCACCATCAGCGGTGCTCAGCTCCCTAGGCCCAGGCGAGGGCGGGCGGGCAGGGTGAGGTCTGGGCGGGACCCCGTCCTGGCATGGGAAGGGACCAGGCGCTGTTGGTCACGGTGGAGTGCCCGTCCTGGCAGAAGAAGGCAGGCAGGGCCATGGCTGTCGTGTGCGGCGCTGTGAGGTCCCCGGCCCCCTGCCATGGGCTGAAAGTGCAGCACCCGCGTGTTTCAGGCCCCGTGCTCTTCTGCGTGATCTTGGTGCTGGTGGCGGCTCTGGGCTCCGGCTCCTTCCTCCTGTGCCACCGGAGGGCCTGCAGGAAGCGGATCTGGCAGAGTGAGTGCCTGCGGCCTCTGGCCGTGGGGGGGGTGGGGTGGTTCAGGGTGCTCTGTGCCGGCCTGGGGGGGGGGGGCTCCCCTGCCTGGCCCGTCTCGCCAGCCCTGCTCCTGGTGTCTCCCCAGAGCTGCACCGGTGCTACTCGGCCCAGACCTTCCGGCCTGCGGTGGAGCGAGCGGGTGAGTGTCTGGTGTTCCCAAGGCTGCCTGAGCCGCAGGACCTGTGGCAGCTCTGGGCCCGGCTCTGGGCTTGGAGACTTCAATTCTCCTCCCAGCCCGGCCTCCCCACAAGCTGCCCCTCCCCCGTCTGCAGTGGGCAGACAACACCGGCGCACTGTGTGCTGTGGGTGGTGCTGGTGTCAGGTGCAAACCCAGCTGGTCCTACCTCTGCCTCGGGGACCCTAGAGGGCTCCCTGGCGCCTTCCCCTCTCTCCTGTCCCCTCCTCTGCCGACACAGCGGCGGAAAGGCCTAGGGCGCCAGAACGGGTGGCCGGGCTGGAATCCTGGCTCTGTACCAGCTGCGTGGCCCTGGGCAAATTCTTCTGTCTCAATTTCCTCATCTATGAAATGGGGACAAGGGTTACTGCAGACGGGGCCTGAGAGGCACGGGTGGACGCCTGCCCACGGTCCACGCTCAGCCAACAGTGGGTGCTGCCTGTGTCTGCAGCCTGTTCTTCACCTGGTGGCTTGGTGGCTGGGCCCAATCGCCAGGTCAATTCTTGGAGGTGGCCTTGGGGAACCCTTGACCCTCCCAGGCTGTCCAGGCCAGGGATCACCTGGACCTGGGGCAGGGGCCGGGGGCCGGGAGCGTGGGTCTGAGCCTTCTTGTGCCGGGGCCTCGTCTCCCGGTGCAGCCGGGCAGGTCCTCCTCCCCCACAGCGCTGATTGTGCACCTGTGGGGAATTGTCTGGGCTTCCCTTGTGGTCTACACGGCAGCCTGCTCCCAGGGACCGTGCCCAGTCCAGACGGAGGAGATGAGGGGCAGAGAGGCGCACGGTGGCCCAGGGCCCTCAGCCTCGGGCAGCAGAGCCGCCCCGTGGGGACAGTTGCCCGATGGTGGTTGTGTGTGGAGTGGGCTCAGCCCTGTCCCCTCTTCCTTCCTCCCCCAGCTCTGTCTCCTCCGCCCCGCCCCACCCCATGCCCCCCCAGGTCCCAGGCTGCGTCCCGAGACCCCCGTGGGCACAGGAACACAGTGCGCCGAGGCAGGGTTTGAATCTGCTGAGTTTCACAAGCAGGGGTTTCTGTTTTGATGGTTCCAGGCCTGTTTCCATGAGCTGTCAGCCTCAGCGAGTCACTGAAACCGGCGTTTGCTTTCTTGACATTTTTCTAGTATTAGACTTTCCATTGCCGTCAGTTTATTTTTCTCTTCAAACCCTGGTGACACCCGTTGTGTCCCCTCCTTCCTCCCTCCCCCCCCCCCAAAAAAAAAAAAAACAAGCAAGCAAGCAAGCGCCTTCCTTTACAAAGCCAGGCCTGGCAGGGACTGAGCCTGGGGCGGGCCGGGCACCTGGATCGTCTCTGGCCTCCTGGCTTCCTTGGGTTCCCAGAGGGAAGGAGGGTGAAGCTGTGATCTGCGTGATGAGACGCTGAATTGCTCTGCCCTGGCCGCCTGTGTCCTGGTGACGGGGCAGCACCTGCCGCTGCTGTCTCCATCCTGCGGCCGAGCAGCTGGGGGCACAGGAAGACAGCGCCTGGTTAAAAGCCTCGTGCTTAACAAGCAGTTGGATTTTGATCCTGCTGTTGCGATTTTCCTAAAACGGGTTTCTCACCCCCAGCACGACTGCCATGACTGTGGGGGCCTGTACTGATGCCAGTAGCGCCCGCTGGCGGCCGGAACCCGCATGTCTCCAGGCATCGCTGCGCAGGCCCCGGAGGGAAAGGGCTCCGGGTCGCTGAGAGCCACCGGGCTGAATTCTTGCCACCTTTCATTTCAGCGGGATCTGAGTCGTTACTTTCCTGTTACTTTGGACAGATTTAGGTTGAGAAAATTCTTTTTCGCTTTGAAACAACTTCGGGCTGACAGAAAAGTTGCTTGTCTGCCCCTGAGCCATGGGGAACCAAGGCTTTTCACATCGATACGTTACCCGCAGTGAGTCCTCAGGTCCTGGTCACGTTTTTCTTTTCTTTTAAAGATGTATTTATTTATTTGAAAAGTAGAGTTACAGAGAGAGAGAGAGAGAGATCTCCCACCTGCTGGTTCACTCCCCAAATGGCTGCAACAGCCAGGGCTGGGCCAGGCTGAAGCCAGGAGCCAGGAGCTCTATCCGACTCTTCCACGTGGGTGCAGGGCCCCAAGCACTCGGGCCATCTTCCACTGCTTTCCCAGGTGCATTAGCAGGGAGCTGGATGGGAAGTGGAGCAGCCGAGACTCGGACTGGTGCCCCTAGGGGATGCCTTCATCCCAGATGGTGGCTTTACCTGCTGCACCACCAAAGCAGCCACCCCAACCCCATTCAGGTTCCTTCGTTTGTCCCAGTAGCATCTGTCGCGGCAGCAGAATCTGGCTGAGAGCCGTGTGGCGCACGTGGTGCTGTCTCTTGAGTCTCCCTGTGTCAGCTTCCCGCCTTTCTGTGGCTCTCGTGGTCTTGCCACTTGGGCCTGTGGTTTCCTGGATGCGCCTCGCTTTGGGCTTGTCTCGTGTTTCCTTGTGCGTGGACTCAGGTGGGGCGACTTGGGCGGGCGATCGCAATAGGGCTGCTGGGCTCTCCCCGGGCCGGTCGAGTTCTGGTGTGCCCTGGGGCACTATGGGCTTTGTGAAGGTTGCAGGCGAGGGGACTGCCCCTCCTTGGGATTGGTCCCGGGGCACCCTGCACACCCCACCCCCCGGGGGGTGCTCAACGTGACATGATGTCTCATGTGAAGTGATGGCACAGAAGCCACACCGTCCTCCACGCACTTGCGTCGTCTCGCAGAGGCTTCGAATCCTTGGCACAATGCAGATGCGGTGGAAAGAGTGGTCAGCCGTGCTGCTGAGGCCACTGGGGTGGGGCGCCTTGTCCTGCCAAGGGCCGGTTGGCTATCTGTGCCATCATTTGTGGGCCACGCAGACTTGCAGCCTGCTGTAGATGCAGTGAATGTCGGGTCCTGCCTGCCCAGGCCAGATCCAGTGATGTCCCTCAGCCCTGGTTAGGGAAGAGCGACGAGACATGGTCGTTTTCTGTCTTCCATCCGTGGCTGGTTGAAGCCCAGATGTAGACCCCGTGGCTAGAGGGCCAGCCGTGTTTTCAGAGGAAGTTTTTTGAGTCTCCAGAATTCACTCTTCATCAGGTTTTATTTTCCCATTTATTTTTTTAAGATGTATTAATTTATTTGAAAGTCAAAGTTACACAGAGAGAGAAGGGAGGGAGGGAGAGAGAGAGAGAGAGAGAGAGGTCTTCCATCTACTGGTTCACTCCCCAGTTGGCCACAGTGGCCAGAGCTGTGCTGATCCGAAGCCAGGAGCCAGGAGCTTCTTCCAGGCCACGCAGGTACAGGGGCCCAGGGACTTGGGCCATCTTCTACTGCTGTCCCAGGCCCTAGCAGAGAGCTGGATCGGAAGAGGAGCAGCCGGGACTCAAACCTGCACCCATAGGGGATGCCGGCACTGCAGATGGCGGCTTTGCCGCCCCCCATTTTTGCATAGATCTGTGTATGGACTCAGGGATTCTTGTTTTTACCATCGATATTTTTTTTTTTTTGACAGGCAGAGTGGACAGTGAGAGAGAGAGACAGAGAGAAAGGTCTTCCTTTGCTGTTGGTTCACCCTCCAATGGCCACCGCGGCCGGCGCGCTGCGGCCGGCACACCGCACTGATCCGATGGCAGGAGCCAGGTGCTTTTCCTGGTCTCCCATGGGGTGCAGGGCCCAAGCACCTGGGCCATCCTCCACTGCACTCCCTGGCCACAGCAGAGAGCTGGCCTGGAAGAGGGGTAACCGGGACAGAATCCGGCGCCCAGACCGGGACTAGAACCCGGTGTGCCGGCGCCGCTAGGCGGAGGATTAGCCTAGTGAGCCGCGGCGCCGGCCTACCATCGATATTTTTTAAGATTGACTTTTACTTTATTTGAGAGGGGGCAGAGAGAGCGAGCGAGTGAGAAGGTGCACTCTCGTTCACTGGTTCACTCCCCAAACACCCACAAGGCTAAGCCAGGCTGAAGCTGGGAGCGGGGAATTCAGTCCAGGTCTCCCACATGGGTGACAGGGGCCCAACCACTGGAGCCATCACCTGCTGCCTTCTAGGGTGCGCATTTGCAGGAACGTGGGCCTGGGAGCGGAGCTGGGACCTGAACCCTATGTGGAGCCTGGGTTTCCCAGCCGGCAGCCTAAGTGCCAGGCCGAGGGCAAATCCCCCGTCTTTATTTCGATGCTCGGGTTGTCTCTGCTGGGTCCGTGGGAGCCCCTTCAAGCGCCTGTGTTCTCTTGGCCCTATCCTTTTGTGCTTGGTCCCTCTCGATCCTAAGACGCACCTGGCTCATCTCGTCCTCTCGCGCCCCAGCCCCGGGCCAGGCTGTGTCTCCCAGGGCCCAGGCTGTGAGCCTGGGGCGCCCACTGCCGGAGCCTGCCGCCCCCTGTGCCAAACCTCTTCCTTGAGCCGCTTCTGCTTCCAACAGCATCAGCGGATCCGGGCCGGAGGAGGGATGCGGCAGAAAGGGGCGAGCCCTGACGACGGGGAGGGCTGGAGGGCGCCCCCAGGGGTCACCGCAGATCCGTGCCAGATGGGTTTATGAGAAGTCTGTGATTAGTCCAAAAAGCAAGGAAACCCATCAGAGAAGAGAGCGGGCTGGAGGCACATCCACGGGGCAGAGCGCTTGTGCAATCTGACCTGTGTGCTCCGCTAGACTGCTTCTGCCTCTGTCAAGGGCTCTGGGCTGTGGCACGGCCGGCCGTAGGCGGATTCCGGGTCTTCCTGTTTACTGTTCTGTGCCATTGTGCTTGCTTCTGTCCAGCTCTGGTCTACTGTGCATGTGTGGGGCGGGGAGCAGCCCCGTGTCCCCCGGGGCGTTTCTGGGCCCATTGTGTGCTAAGCAGCGTCCCCAGGCAGCTTCCTTTAGCAGTATTTTGATTAAAAATAAAAAAAAAGAGTTCTAAGTAGACCGCATTTTTAGGGGAACAGTCCCGGGCTTACGGAAAATCTGAGTGGGCAGTACAGAGTCCCCTTGGCCCCGTGGCCTGTTTCTCTGTCGTTAGCTCCCTACAGAAGTCGTGAACGCTGGCTACATGGCGTGCAGCTGCAGTGGGTCTCCTTAGGCCCCTCTGGCCCGGCACAGTCAGAGATTTGGCAAAAGGCCCCCACAGTTAGCCTGGGGCTTGGGGCTTTGGGGAAGGCGGGCTGCAGAGATCAGCAGAGATCACGGCCTGTGGTGGTCTTGCCACAGCAGGTGCACCTGTCTCAGCACGGTTCGCCAGCAGGAGCGCTCATCCAGCCTGCACTAAAACCCCGAGGTTGGCGCGCTCCGTCCCATTGTCCAGATGAGAAGACCGAGGCTGGGTTGCACCGTCGAGGCGGCCTCTGCTCCAGGTGCCTCGTTGTTTGATGTTTGGTGTCTCCTCAATTCTGTCATCACAGGCACCCCTGCTGTGCCGGCCCTTTCGCTTCTCCCTGGTCGCAACCCCGGGTCACGGGGCTCGGCCCCTCGCTGAGACCCTGTTTCCTTCCTCTCCCAGAAGGAGTTTTGTCAGTTTTATTTGTTTGCTTTGTGACTCAATCACATGCTTTTTGGGCCTCCTCTGGCTACCCCAGAGACCTGGCACCACGCAGCCGCCGGCTGTTTGCAAAGCTGAAACCCTCAAAGCATGCAGTTGGCGTCGTTGATGTCATTGACAAGAATGTGGCAAGGGCAGTGGACGGTGGCTGTGCCTTGAGGGAGTGAGCCATGGCTTCCCATGGTGACTGCCGTGCCGGGACGGCAGCTCCCGGCGTTTGCCGAATGCAGATGCGGTCCTGTCCTGTGGTCCCACACTTGCTCCTCCGGCTCTTGTGCCCCCAGGCTCTCGCTGCCGCCGCTGGTCATGTAACAGATGTCCCAAGGATGCTTTCCGAACTGACCCCGTGACCACACTGCCAGGCCCCTGTGGACGAGGGTAGCAGTGCGCATTCGGGGCTGCTGGCATCAGAGAGGGCCCTAGAGGGCGTCTGGCAGCACCGGCGTCTGGCAGCGGGGTTGTCGAGACCACGGCAGTCGCCACGTGGCGCGTCCCTGGAGGGTGGTCTGCGCTGGCCGCTGACCGGCAGCCCTAGAATAGACCGGCCGCCTGGCCTCCTCCTGCACCCTGCTCCGAGGGCTTGGCCCTGCCCTGGCCTGTGCCTGGGATGAGAGAACACTTGTGGGGGGGGGAGGGCCGCGCAGCCCACGGGAGGGAGGAGAGCGCGGCCCCCCTGCCGGCCACTGCCAGGAAGGGAAGCGGGGCTCCAGTGTGGGCAGCGTTCCCCAGGACCCATCCTCTCTCTCCCCTGCGTGGGGTCCTCCGTGTGGGCTCCGCGCTGCTCTGATGACCTCGGGCAGCTCAGACCCTGGGGGCTGCAGGGCGGAGGCAGAGGCCCCTCCGAGCGCGGCGCAGGGGGGCCATGCACTTCCAAGCTGAGCCTCGCGTGTGTCTGTGGGTGTGTGTGTGTGTATGCATGTCTGTGTGTATGGGTGTCTGTGTGTGTGTGCATGTGTCTGTGTGTGTGCCTGTCTGTGCGTGTGTGTACAGGGGGCTGGGCAGGGGTCCAGTGTGCGATCACTCAGTCATTGAAAGTGGGAGTGGCCGGGAGACAGAGGTGGTCTCCCAGTTCTCCAAGTGCTGCGGGAGAAGGACCCCCCCAGTGCAGTCTGGGGGTGCCCATGGATCCCTCAACCGAGGTGCTCAGCTGTGGGCAGAGCTCAGCACCCCCTGCCTCCAGGGAGCCCCTGGCGACTGGGGGGGGGGGCCGGTGGCCGCCAGCCCCACCCTTGTGACACCACTGCTGTTCTGCCTCTTGCAGATTCCAGACGATGGAGGAACCCAGAAGTAAGTACCCGCCCTTGCTCCCCCCCCAACCTGACTCCTGCAGTTTGGAGAGCGGCCAGGGAGGGGGTGCAAGGGCCAGGGTGCAGGTCCCTCCCGGGGAAGGGGAGCCCCGCCCCCACAGCAGCCCTCAGCTCCTGGCTCAGCCTGAGGGGTTTTCCTGGAGGAGGGAGGGTGGTGGGTGTGGCCAGGAGGAAGCCCCGCCTGCCCGCCTGTTTCCCCTTTTCTCCTTTACTGGCGGGGGGGGGGGGGGGGGTCTTTCTCTTCCCCCAAAACCAGTGGCCGAACACTAAAAAAAGTTTTTTTAAAAAATTAGCCATGGTGCACCAGGCCCCTGCTACACGTGCGAAGAGGCTGGGGCTGCCGTCCTGTCGTAGGAAGGAGAAGCAGGACCCGGACCGGCCAGGTGGTTCTGCAGCGGGTGGTGCCAGGAGGACGTGAGCCCTGCTTTGTGGGACTCCAAAGCCCGCACTCCCGCCTGCTCCCCTGCGCTGCTTGCCGCGTGCCTGGTGCCTGGCGCCGGGCTGGGGACTTTGCAGCTGGGCGTCCCTGACAGGGGCCCGTGGGTTGGGTCCTCGGGAGTCCTTCCCTGCCCTGGGCCCAGCCTCCCAGGGGAGGAGCCGAGGGAGGAGCCGGCCATTTGCAGCTGGCTGAAGCTCAGGTGTACCTGGTCCACATTTTTTTTTCCATGTATCAGTTTTTCCGTTACTTTGTTTGAATGAAGCCTTCGTACATTAAGAAAAGTCTCTTCCCCTCACGCTCGGCATGGCACACAGAACCACAGGGCTCTTTCCGTTTCTAGTCGGGGAGGGTCTCCCGCACCTGGGCTTGCGTTTGGCCAGTTGCTGTTGTGATACTGAGAGTCCCCGGGCGAGGTACTCGGGGAGGGGTAAGATGTTCCGTGTGGGCCGCCAGCGGCGGTGACAGATGAGTGACTCGCTGAGACCTGCGACCTTTTGGCTGCTGTGAGAGAGGCAAGGTTAGGGGGTGCTGTCTGAATCACTCCCAGTTGTTCATCTTGGAAGGTAGATGGTGCCCTCCTGGGTACTCGCTGGCACTTTCCCACGGCGCAGCTGCCTGGAGCGCTTCCGGGTAACAGTGAGAGGTGACCGGCCCAGGTGGTCGGCCTGGGCAGTGCGGGAGTCCGGTGCTTCCGGGAGACTTCGGTGCTTGTGAGTGAGGATTAGAGAACGAGAGCCCGGAGTTCAAATCCCGGCCCAGACACTTACTACCTATGTGAGCCTGGGCAAGTTACCCCTCTGTGCTTCAGTTTCCTGATCTGTGAAGTGGGAGGGTGCTGTTGGTACCACGTTGAGGGGGTTGTGAGCATTCCACGTGTCGAGGACTTAGGATGGGCCCTATGTGCCTGCTAAGGCTGGCTGAGTTGCTCGTCATTATTACCCTTATTATTTATTTTTTTAAAGATTTATTTATTTATGTGAAAGGCAGAGTGACAGAGAGAGGGAAAAAGACAGAGAGATCTTCCATGCACTGGTTCACTCCCCCAAATAGTCTCAATGGCTGGGGCTGATCCAGGCCAGAGTCAGGAGCCAGGAGCTTCCTCCAGGTCTCCCACATGGGTGCAGGGGCCCAAGTACCTGGGCTGTCCTCTGCGGCTTTCCCAGGTGCATTAGCAGGGGGCTGGATCAGAAGCGGAGCAGCCAGGACTGGAACCAGCACACCAAAGTGAGAGTGTCCCCAGCTGTGGCTAACCGCAGTGCCACAGTCCTCTGTGCCAGCCCCTACTTGGTGATTTAGTCCAAACTCAAGCAGAGCCGGGCCCGCCTTGGGGAAGTGGGCTCCCCGGCCCCAACGCTGGGGGAGGTCGGGGCGCCGCCTCAACGCCTGTCCCACTCCTGCAGTCGAGCAGCACCGTGGTGGCGGAGCTGGGCCCAGAGCCGGCCGTGGAGACCTGCCCCCTCGTGGGCACCGCCCTCGTGGAGGACCTCCCGCTGCTGAACGCCAGCCCGGCCGGGGGCCCCTCACCCTCATGGGAGCTGCCTGAGCCCCGAGTGTCCACGGAGCACACCAATAACAAGATCGGTGAGTCCTAGGGTGGCCGTGGGCAAGGGGGCAGAGCAGAGACGGGCTGGACCTGCAGTGGGACCCGAGCTCCTGGGCTGCACCTGGATTCAGGTTTCGGTGAACAAGGAGTAGCAGTGAGTTTACCCCGAGGGCACACAAGGAGTGCCGAGGGTGGCACCTGCTGGCGCTCGGGTGAAAAGTGCCCCCAGTCCCCAGGTCCGAGCACCAGGAGTGCAGGAGGGACACAGACATGGCAGCAGACCCCCACCTGCCTGGCATCCCACGCACCTGATAGCCACCATCTCTTCCTCTCCAAGAGCCACACCCCCTTTCTGGGGAGGGAGGAGGGTCTTCTCCCTGGTTCGCAATCGGGAAACCAGCTCTGAGGGCCGGGAGGATTCTCCTGGTCACGTGGCTACAGAGTGGCACAGCTGGGACCCGAGCCTGCATCTGCTGGGTCTGCAGCCCCTGGCTTTTCCTCCCGGCCCAGAGGGGGCTCTGGTGCCCAGCGCCTCCCAGCTGCGGCCACCCTGTGGCTTGGGTGAACACCCTGCCAGCCTCCCAGGGCCTCCCTGCCTCCTCTCTTGCTTCTTCTGGTACAAGCAGATGCTTTCTCCCAAGTCCACACTGTCCGCGTCACGCCCTAGTGTACCTGCACTGTCCGCGTCACGCCCTAGTGTACCTCTGCACCCCAAAACAGAGAGCAGCGGCTCGGGCCCCAGCCCACGGCCTCCAATGGGGCCTGAGGGCCCCTGGCTCTGGGGTCTCCACCAGAGGGGCTGGGTGAGAAATGGCACCCAGAGGTGGGGGGGAAGGGAGACAGGAGGTGAGACGTGTCATGCCCCCACTCGGAACCCTCCAGCGGGCCCCAGCTCCCTGCTTGGTGAGGTCCAGGAGTCTTAGTCGCGTGTCTGAGGCTGCCCACGAGCCGACCCGCAAGCCTCACTGGGGATGGCAGTGCTGATGGGGATGCCCTCTGCCATGGGGGCAGGGGAGGCCTGCAGGTCCTCTGGACCCCAGGACACAGGGACCCCTGGTCCTCTTGATCACCCCCAGAAGAGCGCCCCCAAGAGGACCAAATGCAGACCTGGCCATGGGGCCCCTTCTTGGCCTCCTTCACCCCTGGAGGACACAGCTCCCCTGGATCTGGGAGCTCTGGTAGGGCAGGAAGCTCCCAGAGGGCGGGCAGCCCTGTGGCCGAGGCAGAGCCAGCAGGGGCAGGACTGCCGGAGGTGACGAGGCCGGAGGCCCCTGCTTTGGCTGCTTCTGCCCAGTCGCACCCCTGCTTGGCGCCCCTGCCCGCTGCGCTGCCCCTCAGCTCCCCTCTTCTGCTGGTTTGTCCTCTGAGTCCTGTCTCACCTCCTGTCTCCCTCCCCCCCCACCTCTGGGTGCCATTTCTCACCCAGCCCCTCTGGTGGAGACCCCAGAGCCAGGGGCCCTCAGGCCCCAATGGAGGCCGTGGGCTGGGGCCCGAGCCACTGCTCTCTGTTTTGGGGTGCAGAGGGTACCTGGCCCGTGCTTGCCCCCTCCCCTCACCCCAGCCTGCCCTCCAGTTCTCACTGCTATTCTGAACACTTCTCTCTTTCCTGGGGGTGCTGCAAGCCGAAGAAGGGCCAGCATTGTGCAACAGGGCGAGGGGCGGGGTCCCCGAATCTGAGGATGTGACCAGAGCACCCCACAAGGGAGGGGTCCCTGAGCTCCTGGCCTGCCACTCCCCGGTTCTCCCCCTGGTGGCAGCTGGGTGCTGGGGGCCAGAGGCGGCTGACCTGGCTAAGGTCAGGCATCCCCACTGCCCAGATCCTGGGCACTTAACTCCCCTGAGTCCCTGTGACCCCTCGAAGAAAAGGCCGCCCTGGAAGCCCCCGTGATGGCTGTGGTGGGGACCACAAGGAACTGCACCTCTGATGAGCGGAGGGAGACCCACCGGCACCCACTGTGCATGGCAGGCCGGGCGTGCAGCCCCGGGGGAGATGGGCTTCAGCCAAAAGCCCTGAGATGTGTGCCCAAAGTGAGGCTGTGTGCCCCCTGCTGGGGTGGCCTGGGCTGAGCCGGCTCCCAGGACAGGATGCCAGGATGGCGCGGCCACTCCAGCTGTCCACTGGAGCAGAAGAGGTGGCTGGATGGGGTGGGGGTCTCTCGGGGTTTCTCCTGACTGCCTGGGACCTTAGCCAGGTCAGCGGGCCTCTGTGGCCTTAGGGTCTCACCATCCAGGGGGACAACGGTGGCCTCCTGGCCTTGCAGGAGCATGGAAGCTTGGGGCAGGGTGGGAAGGGCCTGGTGCATGCTCGCGCCTTCCCCGTTGCCTTCTCCGGAGCCACGTTCTCCTCCTTCTTCCTGGCCCCCCACCCTGGGAGTGTGAGGAACACCTCAGGCAACCTTCTTGGGTACCAAGTGGGTCAGGTGTTACCTCCTCAGCACACAGGGCCCTGGGAGGATAGTGGGGCTCGCTATGCACCAGAGAGGCTGTGCCGTCTGCCTGAAGTCACACAGCGAGAACGGCAGGAGTGAGGCCCGGCCCCTTCTCTGCCTCTTTGCTCTCCTCCCGGGGGTGCAGGTCTCCCCATCTCGCCCATCTCTTTGTCTTGCAGAGAAAATCTATATCATGAAGGCCGACACGGTGATCGTGGGGACTGTGAAGGCCGAGGTGCCCGAGGGCTGGGGCGTGGCAGGGCCCACAGAGCCCCAGTCGGAGGAGCTGGAGGTGGACCATGCCCCCCACTACCCGGAGCAGGAGACAGAACCTCCCCTGGGCAGCTGTGGAGATGTCACGTTCTCAGTGGAGGAGGAAGGGAAGGAGGACCCCCTGCCCAGCAGCGCCTCTGGAAAGTGAGGCCCACCCTGGGCTGGGCCTGAGAGGGCAGCTGGATGTCCCCGGGAGGCCAGGGAGGCACTGGCGACACCGAGCTGGGGTCTGGAGTCCCTGTGGCCTGATCGGAGGTTCTAGCGTCCTGTGGATCTGTGCGGGAGGGGTGCTGGTGGTGGTGGTCTCTGCTCCTGTCTCCCACTTGGTGACTGTACAGCCAGAGCCTAGGGTGCTGGGGCCTGGACAGGAGACCCTTGCAGGGAGCTAGCTCCCAGTGGTGATTTTGCTGGGCCACAGATCGATGGCCGAGACAGGGCCCCTGCTTTCTCTGCTGCTGGGGGCACCAATTCCAGAGCCTTGGCACCAGACACTCGCCACGAGAGTCAGTGCCCACCGAGGGAGAGTCGGGAAGGCCGGCTCACTCCCTGCCTCCACCCCCTCCTCTCCTGTGGCCTTGCTGCCTTGCCACCAGCCCCTCATCCCTGCAAACGTGGACCCCGCAGGCACAGAGCCAGTGCCCCTGGTTCCTCCCGAGTCAAAGGGAAGTTGCAGGAGGGGCAACATTGCTGGCACCATCTGGGCTCAGCCTGGTCCCCAGCCCTGCTCCTGCCCGCTCTCCCTGTTCCTTGCTCCATGGTGGGCCCAGCTCAGCTCGCTGGTCCCTGAATGTCCCCAGCCACCCCCGCAGCCACCCCTGCAGCAGGAAGCATCTTGGATCCAGATGTCTGCGGCCCCTCAGCAGCTGCAGGGCCCCGCCCCTGAGCCCCCGCCTGCTGGCCATGCTCACAAGGGGCAGCCTCGTTTGCCAGGGACTTCCTCCTGCCACCGAGATGGGGAACTGCAGGCCCTTCCTGGGGTCCCTGGCTGCTCTGTGGGTACCATCTGCCCTGCCCCGGAAATGGAGAAGCATCTCCCTCCATCTGCTACGCTTGAAATCCACTGCACCAGCCCCGCCGTCTGCCGCCACTGCTGGGTGCCCTCGGGGTGCGCTGTTGGCCAGCACCCGCCTCCCAGCCGTTCGTCCTGCCTCCTTGTGCACGTCGGGACCTTGCACACGCTGGCTCGGCCTGGACTCTGGGACTGTGCATTTCACGCTAAGGAGCAAGGCTGCCCTTGGCTTCCAGGCTGCAGCCCCCCCCCCCCCCCCGAGTACAGATGGGAAGGCCCCAACCCAAACTGGCGCCCCCGGGGGGGGGCGTCCAGGCAGCCTGGGTTCTCCTGGACTTGCCCGCGGGCCAGGCCCGGGAAAGCCGCCGTGACTCACCTCTGCTTGCTCTCTGCAGGAAGTTGGGGCTGGGCCAGGCGTCACGAGGGCCGTTTCTGAACTCGCTCTGATGTTTTGGGGAAAGTTGGAGAGGCCGGGCGGGGCGTGGCCAGAGGTGGTGGTACTGGGACCTGGACTCTGGCCAGTGGGGGGGGGGGGGGCGGACGCTGTCTATTCAGGTGCCCCCATGGGGGAGGAGTGGATGAGGTCTTCCCCCCCCCCCCAGCTGGGGCCGTGAGGAGTGCGGGACTCCACGCACCTGCCAAGCAGGGCTTCCTGGTGGAAGGACCCTGACCCACGTTTGGGAGAAATGATGCGCTCCCTCACCTGGTGGCTCTGCACACAACTTCTCAGAAGTCCTGACAGCCCATAATAATGAAAAATGGCAAAGCTGAGGCAGGGGTTCCCTCAGCATGCAGACACCAAGACCACTGGCCCCGATGGACTGCCACTTCTGGGCCAGGAGCCTGCCACCTGCTGTGGCCCCGCCCCCTCACCCACCCACCCAGGCTTCTGTGCCCTGGGCCAGGGCCACCCTCGGAGGATGCTCTCAGTAAAGCCCTCTTGCCAGAGGCTCCTTTTTGGTGTTTGTGCAAAGGTCCTGGGGCACTCCAGGGCCTTCTACCCTGCGGGCCGGGCTGAGCAGCTCTGCAGCTTTGCAGGGTGAACTCCTAGAGCTGTGGAAGGAAGGGGAGGACTGAGGGTCTGTGGAGCCTTGTGGCCTGTGCCTCAGCAGGAAGTGCCCGCCTGCCACCGTGGGCCCAGCTCAGGGGCCTGTGCCCACCGCAGGCTGCCACCTGAGAGCCTCCTATTACGGGCTGTGTGTGGGGCGGATGAGACCAAGGGCTGTGGAAGGACCCCTCTCCACCCAACTTGGGATGTCCCCCTCAGTCCATCTGTGAAGCAGCCCCTGCCTGCCGCGTGGTCAGTGCAGGAGCCAGGGTGCACGTCCCTGGGGAGACCGGGCTTCTGGACTCTGCTGTGGGGACTCCTGGTGGGCACACGCTCAGGCTCCCACCACTCAGCGTGGCAGTGTCCAAGGTTCCCTTCTACGCCCTTCTGGAACAGGTGTGGTAAGCGAGAGACAGCAGGTGCACAGGTCCCCGAGGGGTTGGCAGGCTCTAGGCTTCTGAGGGACGCCGAGACCGGATGCCAGTCCCTAGTTTGGGACGAGAACCGACTCCCCAGAGTGGCTCTCTCTGTCTCCGCCGCTCCCCTGCCCACCGTGGAGTCCTGCAGACCCGGGCCCAGGACCTGGGCCCCCTGTCCCGTGGTCGCCAGCACTGACTTGTGGAGCTGAGCCAAACGGAAACTGCAGGGACAGAAGGTCGCGCGGCAGCCGCAGTCCCCTGGGGCCCCTCCCTTCCCGTCCTCTCCTTGACTGTAGCCGTGGGTGGGGGGAGCTGTGGCCATAATGAGTGGGGGTGAGGGTTCCAGAAGCACAGGCAGGACCCAGGAGAGAGGCACACGCCTGCGAGTGCAGTGGCACGGGATGCCCGGGTGAGAACCGCCAAGGGTCAAGGGCGGCCCCCTGGGCCTGAGAGAAGCTCACTGAGCACCTTTGGGGCCCTGCCCCCTCCCCAGACTGGGCACACACCCTGAGACCCTCGCCCAGGCTGACCGGCAGCGGGGTCTGCTCGCTGCCTCCCGTGGCCCTGACACTGATGGGAGCAGCTCCAGATAGAGATGGCGCTTCAGAGGTTCAAATCCCAGCTCTGCTCACCTGCTGGGTGATGTCGGTTACAGTCTGATCTCTCGAGGGAGCGCCTTGGTCCACTCCCTGTGGCTGTTACATGGCACCCACCACTGCGTGAGTCACAAAGATAAGAGGGGTCTCTGGCTGGGGGTCCTGAGAGCGGGCGGGGGGAGGGGCAGGGAGGCAGGTGCGGGCGGAAGAGGCCGCACATGAGCTGGGGCCTCGCTTTGCAACACCCAGTCCAGACCCAAGGCAGCAGGAGTGAACCCAGTTCCCTGAGAGCGGCAGGAGGGACCCGCACATCTCACAACCGCCCTGCCCCGCTCTGCGGCCAACATGGCTTCGGAGGGGCCGGGTGCACGCGGACGCCGTGGCGTTCAGTTTCCTCATCCGTGCGGTGCGGGCGTCTGGAGTCTCCCTGGCAGTCTCCCCGAGCAGCCCCTGGCCTGTGGCTCCTGCGCACTGAGCGGCCGCCCCCGCCCTCGGGCCAGCCTGGCAGCCACTTGCCAAGCGTGAGCCCTTCCCACACCCACAGGTTCAGCCGCCCAGGCTTACAAGCAGCTCCCCCTCCAGGGGGCTTGACTCGGAACAGCCGGCTCCCAGGAAAACGCGGCCTTGCTGGTTGGTTCCCAGGCTGGCCTGCTCATGGTCGTTGCCATTACCCAGGGCTTTCGGGCTAGCCTGGGCACCAGCCCCCGGAGAGGGGGGTGAACTGCTGTGGGAACTCCCACAGTGCTCTGTAGGGTGCATGAGAACCCCTTAAACCACAGTCCCAGGACTGGCTATCCGTGGGATGCCTGCAGCTCTGGACACGATTGTGAGGTACCGTCATGGTTCTAGTATGTTCCGCTGCACCGCTTTCCTGCTCAAGGCCTCTCCTCCCATCATTCCTCCTCCCCTCCAAAATCACCAATGGTTGGCCAGGCCCAGGTGTCGCTCTGAGCTTGCTGGCCGGGGTTCTGTGTCAGGTGGGTGGGGCAGACAGTGGTGCCTGATTCAGTCCCCAAACAAGGTCTTTCCAGTTCCATGGGGACATTTGCTGTGAGAAAAGCCCGGCCAGGCCCTGGGACCAGGTCTGGAGGGGACCTGGAGGGGTCAGTTCCAGCCAGGGCACAGGGGTAGGCTTCTCGGAGGAGGTGCCCTTTGGGCTCTACCCGAGTGATGGGCCCAGCCAGCGAGCCCCGGGAGGTGTGGTATTGCACGGCGGAGGTGGGACTTGGCCTTGAGATTCGGAGAGCAGACGGCCTGGAAGCAGAGTGAGGGGGCGGGGAGGGGCGGCCGTGCAGGAGTGAGTGGGGCCCTTGGGTTCTGTGGTCCGAGCCCTGGGCCATGCTTGTTTTCCTCCTGCGGGGACAGCACACATCCTGCTATTATGTCCGCGGACGAGAAAGGTGGTGATCAGAGGGCTCGGAGGGAGGCTGTGAGCCTTGGCTGGATGTGTTTCTCAGGCCCCGAGTTAAGGAAACACGGCTGGCCGCGAGGTGGCCACGCCCGCGATGGCGCCGACGGGGGTGGGGGGGAGCAGTGCTCGGCGCCCCCTGGCACCAGATTGTCTTCCAGCAAAGACCGAAGGAGCCGTGTTCGCAGGCACGAGCGTCACAGCGGCCGGCGTGGCCTGCACCCTTCCTGGCCCTTCCTAGGAGAGGCCTCCCCACCACGTCCTGGCCGTGGTGCGGGAGCCGTGGTTAGGGACAGACGGGCGGCCAAGTTCAATCTCCAGCTCAGTGAAGTCCAGCTGCCCGGCCTCAGGCAAAGCCGAGAGGCACCCTCACCTTAAGCTTCCTCCCCGTGAAATGGACGTAACGGTTGCCTTGCAAGGTGGCCCGATGTGGGGGGTGGGGGTGTGTGGGACGTGCTCAGCCCAGCGCTGGACCCAGCTGCACATCGCGCTAAGGAGTCAGCAGCTGAAGCGTTTGCCCGAGCCCTTCCCGACCCCTCGACCCCTCGACCCCTCCCCGGCCCCCCCCCCCCCCCCACCCCTCGTGCCTCTGAGCTCTGCAATGACAGCCCAGCCCTGGAAGTAGGAGACCTCCTGCAAACCGAGGTTCAGAGATGCAAAGCAGCTGGCCCCCATCACACAGCAGGGAAGCACCAGCGCTGGGGTTCCCCGCCCCCGCCCCGACTCCAGGATCACCGTGCACGGCCGGGGCCCCTGTGGTCAGGCTGTGTGTCCATCGCGGTCACTGCCTGGCCCCGTGCTTCCCAGACAAGCTTCCTGTCACCGCCAGTCACCGCAGCTGGGCGGGGGAAGGAGATTGATCTCAGTCCTTTTTATGGGGAGGTGGGGACCGTCACCTGGGATCCAACAGCCTGTCAGGTATGGCTTTCCAGTTCCAGAAAGGACGCAGGGTGAAGCCAACCAGAGCCTGCCCCTTGAGGCAGCCGTTCCTGAAGGCGTGGGTGGCTCCGAGGGCCTGGGACACTCAGGGCCGGGGCGGCTCTCGCTCTCAGGAAACCCTGGAGTCTCCCTCTCTGGCCTGCCCAGGACACGGGTCAAGACCACGCCTGCCCATTTTACAGATGGGAGACTGAGCCTGTGGCGGTCAGCATGTTTGCCTGGGGTCCCAGCTTGGTGCTGCCCAGTGGAGACCGGGCCAGTTGTGAGCTGGGGCCAAGGGCCCAGGGGTTCACCCTCCAGTCCAAGGGAGCAGTACGGAGGATGGGCTGGTTTTTATTCTTCCTTAGGAACAAAACAAAACTGGTGTTAAAAGGAATTGAGAGAGGGCAGAGCGGGAAGAATTGCTGTGTTCCTACATTTGTGTATATGAAATGCATGAAGTTTGTATACCTTAAATAAAAGGTTTCTAGGTTAAAAAAATTTGAGATAGGATCTGGTGTTGGTACGCTGGCATCCCATGAGTGCAGGTTCGAGTCCCGGCTGGTCCAGCTCGCTGCTAATGCACCCAGGGAGGCAGCAGAGGACGGCCCATGCCTGGGCGCCTGAACCCACGTGGGAGACCCAGATGAAGGTCCTGGCTTCAACCTGGCCCAGCCCTGGCTGTTGCGGCCATCTGGGGAATGAACCAGCACGTAGAAGATCTCTGTCTCTCCCTCTCTCTGTAACTCTGCCTTTCAAATAAGTAAACTTTTTTTTTTTTTTTTTTGACAGGCAGAGTGGACAGTGAGAGAGAGACAGAGAGAAAGGTCTTCCTTTCTTCCTTTTGCCGTTGGTTCACCCTCCAATGGCCACCGGT